CAGCTCTCCTTACTAATTTTTGTTACAATGTCCACATCAACGTAGGCGTCTCTTAACTTACACTGACTTGACCTTCTATAATCTAACTGTATGCTGCTTACCATGAGAACAGAGCTGAAAGGTATATTACTCCATGTGCATGAATAGGAATTTTTCCAGACAAAAATGTTTTTGATATTTACAGCCTTGTGCATACATAGCAAGACTCCTGCTTGCTATATGCACTTGCCATATTACCAACTCACCTTCATTTTGACCGCTCTGGAAGAAGAGCCGTGTTTTTCAGGGTTACATTCTGAGCCATCTCTAGTTAAGATGAAAGAAAAACTTTATTAGTCTTGATCACGCCCTGTTTCTCTACCCATAATTCCTGTAATAGAACCCTTCTATTCTACTCTTAGGCATAATTTTAATTTGGTTTAATTTCGTAGAAAAATGACTTTTGGCATGGATGGCTTCTCCTTTCATCTAGCAATATTGTTTTGATAATCAGTCCTAGAATTCAGCTCAGGAAACCCTATGTTTGTTTCTTCAGGGTGTATGTCCTATGTTCAGAGATAATACATGAGAAATATTACCTGTGTGACCATGGGCAAAGTGCAGAGGTGGGAGCCACATAAACTGCCTACGGGGTTGATGCCATGCAGCATCTTGTTGGCAGGCTGGTCTCTGACCAGATTCCCTCATTTTCTGATGTTAAGTAGAGATCTCAGTGTTTGGAGAGTGTTTGGTCAGCCCTCGGGATTAAGAGGTCAACCCTCCGGATTAGCAAAGGACACATGCTTCCTGACCCAAGGAAGGGGACAGTTGAGTTACAGCATCCACAGGGAGCAGAACTATATAAACTTCAACAATGCATCCCTTGGTTCTTGGAACTGATTGTCCGGTGATTGCCTGAGAAACATTCTGATTCCAGCGTACTGGAGCTGTCGGGACTGCAGGCAGAGGTTAAACAACAGAGCAAGCTAGACTCTGCCTGGGTGAAGCGCGCTCTCTCTGTCTCTGTCTCTCTTCCCTAAGTCTACTTGTTATCAATAGGTTAGAGTGCCTCTCACAGCAGAGCAGCGAGTTGCTTTGAAGGCAAAGTGTTTTGGTGTCATCTGGTCTTTAAAATAGGGCAGAGCCATCATTTTTGATGGAAAAGACACACTGGTGACTGTCGCTTCCTCACCCAGTAGGGCTGCCTGAAACTGTATCGCAACATCAAAGTTGCATCAGCTCTGTGGGACTTAAGACCCATCTTCGAGTTACCATGGAATCCTCACAATGTGCATAGGACGCAAAACAAAAGCACATGGTTAAATGTATACTGAAAGAAATCCATGGAAGGGAAACATGGGCAGTAGTATATCTGTGACTCCGAGCCTCTTCCCATGCTGGCTACCAGCCACGAGCCACAGCAGCTTGTGACTCCTCTATATCCTGGATCTGAATCATGTTCCCTGACAGCAACAAAACCTGTCTTCTACCCCCATCTATGCACATCTGTTTGTGCAAGGTACGTGACAAGCCACAGGGGCCAGACTGCCAGAGGTTGGAATCTTGCCCCTGCTATTTAATGGCCCACATGACCAAGGCTGGTTATTTCACCCATGAGCCTGTTTCCCCCAACTGTCCAATGGGAATAATGATGGTACTTGTGAGCATCTTTGGGAGGATTAAATGAGCTGTTAAGCATGTAAGATACAGCAGGCCTGACATATGTTAGCATATGTCATAAATGTTAGCAGGTTACATGGATGTTTCATTTTGGCACTGTGGTTTATTGATGGGTTACAAACCATTCCGATGTAGGTATTTTAAAGGAACGGGCTACATGTGAAAAGGCTTGTACCTTTACCTCAAATGCTCAAGTACATACTTTAGATTCTTTTTCTATTTTGGAATATTTGCATATTTATGAGAACTCTCAGGAATCCACTGGCATTTCTCACACACAGTCCAAAGGTAATTCTGTATGTCTTTAGTGCACCTGTCTTGACTGTAGCCATCATATAAGGTCTGACGTGGGATTTTTTTACTGGTAATGACATGATACAGCACCCAGAAAGTTTGGACTTTTGAGCATTACAGGTTACAGTTTTTAGATTAGGATGTCCCGTCCTTATTTTATTTCCATTCTCCATTGCTCTGCCTTGAGCACTTCACTTTGAATGCCACAGCCACAGTTCTAGGAGGGCTAAGCAAATTGTTCTCTCCTTCTCCAGGAGCTATGACATCCCTAACTTCTGGTTGGCAGAAGTAAACACGGCCATGCCTAGGCCATCGTGTGTTAGCTCCCTGTGTATAGAAAGTGGTCTCCCCAGACCTCTTCTTGTTAAAATAAGAAAAGAAAGTGCTGTGACTCTCATAGTGGCATGGGATTCGGTGCCGGCTGTTAGCATGGTGAGCTGCCATCCTGGGAAGAGGGGAAGGGCAAGCAGGAGGCAGTAGGATGCTCACTGAGCATGAGCACTGGTCTCTACCATCAAGAAGTGCTCATGGCCAGGCCTCTTCTCCAGCCAGAGATTTTTAGGAGGTCAGCCCCTCATAACTGTGTGGACCGCTGCTGGGCCTTACAGAGTCAGGGTGGTAAGATGAAGTCAGACAGACTCAATGGTAAACCACGGGAATGAAGACAGGATCTAGGTTACAGCTGTATCCAGGCCTGGCCCGGATTCGGTTACTTCCTTTTCAATAAATCATCTCGTGGCTTTGAAGGGGACTGTGTCCTGCTGCAGGTGTGCAGTTTGGAAAATGTACCTCCTTGAAAATGATTATTCCTGGGCCATTGTCCTCATCAGAGACTGTCCCAAATGGCCTTCACGTCCATCTCCTGCCTTCCTCCCAGCTAACCGAGTGAAGCCAGAACTCAAACCTAAGCCCTTGCAGACTACATGGCCTGCCTTCAAGCCTCCCTGTCTCAGGGAGCTACAAAGAATAAAATACCCGGGAACGAAGGTAGCAAAGTCCAGGGCCAGCTGGCTACAGTGTTACAGCATCCATGTCCTGGTCAGCATCAGAAGAGTTAATGTTGCCGAACATCTGTTATGTTCCAGTGGTTATCTGTTGCCTTGATCCCGCATCACCTGCAAGATGCTTAATTTTATAGATAATAAGGACACTTGGAGTCTGAGTCAAGAATCTTGCAGGGGTGTAGAGCTTACAGATGGTAGGTGGTGGTTGACAGGGCTCTAACAATCCTGGTCTGCTCGACTCCAGTGCTCTGGTCTTATCCCTATTGCTGAGGTTTGAGAGACCTCAGAGGCTTGAAGTAGAGGGGCTGGGAGTGAAAGGATTCCCTTAGAACCATATAAGTCACTGCTAACAGAGCTAGAACCGGAAGGCAGTCCTCGGGGTTGTCTTGGTTGATGGTGAGATAGAAACATACTGATTCTTTGGTCCACTTAAACGTAGCCTGGAGGTAGGGAATGTAGCTCAGTTGGTAGAGTGCTTACCCAGCATGCACTAAGCCCTGGGACCCATCCACAACACGATATAAACCAGTGTGGTCCTGGATGGATATAACCCCAGTACTACAGAGCTGGGGGCAGAAGGATCAGAAGTTCAAGATCGTCCTTGTCAACACAGAAAGACAGACCTGGGGCCAGCCCGAGCTACAAAAGATCCTATATGAAAATAAAAGAGCATGTGGGGACGTGACTGTTCATGTTTATTCATTGGACAAATACCTGTTGACAGCCCTGTCCACAGCACATGGAGGTGCTGCCCCTCTCTCCTGAAGAGTGGAGAGTGTCTCACAGTGGTAGCTTGCTCTGGCGCTCCAGGAGCATGGGGGCAGGGTTGGGGTGGGGTATGGATGAAGCCAGGAACAGCTTTTGGTGAGAGGCCAAGGGCCATTCAAATGGCTTGAGGTGTTAAACCGATTATGAGATTAAACTGGTTTGTCAAGGTAGAGATCTAGACTGTTGAAAGATTCCCAGCGTGAATCAGGACTTGGCTTCAGAAATGGAACCAAAGGTGGGGAGGAGGGCATGGAGGCCAGGAGGAAGTTGTTCGGGTAAGTAAAAGTTGACGGTGCGCAGGCAGTGTGTTTCCTGTGAGTTGAGGTCAGCATCTCAGTTTCTCTTTCCATTGCCGTCAGCGGGGGTGCAGCTTTGGCGGCATCTTCCGACCTGAGGATTGGTAAGTAGGGACTTTGAACTGTAAACCATTGCTTAAATCTCTGGGATTCATCCAAAAAACCCCAGATCAGCGGTGCAAGCACTCACCCATTTAGGGTTTTCATGAAAGTGGCTGATGGAAGTATTTTATTTCGGTTTCTGTGTGAAAAACGAATGCTAGCCAGGCAAGGTGGCACACACCTCTAAGCCCAGCATTCAGGAGGCAGAGGCAGGAGGATCTGTGAGTGTCAGGACAGTGTGAGCTACGTAGTGAGGCCCTGCCTCACACCAACAAAGATGGCTTTTGCTTCAGTAGCTTTTGGCCTGGTGTTAACTCGAAGCTCCAGCGTACGCAAGCTACATGTGTTCTCTCAAACCTGTTGCAAGCCAAGGCCAGGCTGGAAAGAAAACTGAGGCAGACTGCCAGAGAGGCGGCAAGCAGATCTGTGCTTGAGTGGCTTCTCTCTTTCTGACCCAGAGATGCCCACCAGGCAGCCTCGCTGGAGCACCCACCCTCACGCCGTGCGTTCTGTCTTTGTCCAGGAAGGGCCACTGACTGCTGTCACTGGAGTGAAGTATTCAGAATAGGTATTTGGGAGAGAGGAAAATGGCAACTTCCCTATGGTCTGGAATTCCAGGAAGTGGTCAGGGTATCAGGAGGAGGCCATGTGAGTCTGACAGGACTCTTGGCTAGTCTGAGCCCCTGCGAAGCATCATCCCGACCAATAGTGTTGCAGAGTCACCTGCTCTGTGACCATGCACACCTGGGGAGATATAAGTTGTTCCTGCTACAAAATTAAAGTGGTACAGATTCCTGGCTCCTCACCGGTGTCCGGCGTCCGTCCTGGCCCTTGCTTCCCGCTGCTGCTAACTGGGTCTCTCTTCCATTGCACTTAGGGTGAAGAAGCTGAAGGAGACGTTTGCTTTCATTCAGCAGTTAGACAAAAACATGAGCAACCTTCGCACCTGGTTGGCGCGAATCGAGTCTGAGCTCTCCAAGCCCGTGGTTTACGATGTCTGCGATGACCACGAGATCCAGAAGAGGCTTGCTGAGCAACAGGTGAGTGATGGGAAGGAGTACCAAGAGGAGAGGTGGCACAGGAGGCCAAGGCAGGCCTGCCCTCCTGTCTTCCACCTGCCCACGTCACTGCCCTATGTGTGAGGCATTCGTCTCTGAATGCCTCCTTCTCCTTCACATAGCTCATCCTGCAAACAATGCTGAAGAAGATGCCGACCTTAATTACAATGCTCGATGAGGTTTTATCTTTGATTTCATTATGTATAACATAGCTTTGAAAGGGAATGAATTGGGAGTACAGTTCCTTTTCGGATTGAGATAGTTAGTGTCCCAGACTGACTTCAGACTCTCAGCCTTCTGCTTTATCATACTGACATCAACCTAATAGACCTGCAAAGAGAGAACCTTGATTGAGGAATTGCCTCCACAAAGTAGTCTCTGGGACCTTCCACACCCCGCCCCTCCAGGATCTCCTGGCTGGCCTGGAACTTACTATGGAGATCAAGGTACCCTCAAACTCAGGAGCTCCATCTGCCTCTCCCTCCTGAATACTGGGATTGAGGGTGTAGGCCTGAGACATTTTTTTTCAATTGCTCATTGATATAGGGGGGCCCAGCCTACTGTGGGCAGTACCATCCTTAGGCAAATGAGCCCCGGCTACCTACGAAAGGTAGCCAAGCAAGCGAGGCGAGGGAGATGGTAAGCAGCATTCCTCCATGGCCTCTCCTTCAGTTCCTGCCCCTAGGTTCCTGCCTTGAGTTCCTGCTTCGGCTTCTGTCAATCATGACTTCTACCCTGTGTAGCAAATAAGCCTTCTCCTCCCAAGCTGCTTTTGGTCAGGGCTGTATCACAGCAACAGAGAAACGAACAAGGGCAGCTACCAACTACTGTAGCTGTAGCCATGCACCATGTCATACCCGCATGCCCGCTCCAACCCCTCTCTCTGAGGAGTCAGCCAGTGCCTGGCACATGCTCGGCACGTGCTCGATCATGACCAGAAGGGACCACCCCAAAGACAGTGTCTCCTGTTACCCAGGCTGTCCTGACAGCTGAGGGTGACCTCGAGCTTCTGGCCCTTCTGCTGTGTGCTGAGATATACAGGTGTGTGCCACTGCCCCTTTCTCAGAAGATGCCCTTTAATGATAAATTATCTTGAGTCAGTTCTATCTTTTATTGTTTTAGAATTTTTTATTGTTGATACTGCTGTTTGTTTTTCAAGACAGTGTTACTCTGTATGGCGCTGGCTGTCCTGGAACTTACAGTGCAGACCAGGCGCCACCTCTGCCTCCCAAGAGCTGGACTTAAAGGCATGCATTGCCACCACCACCCAGCCTTTTACTGGCTTAAAAGTGACAATTTTTTTTTTGCTACCTTACATAGAATAAACATTTGTCCTTTCACTAACTGCCACTTTTAGATGGGTATCACATTGGCCACACCCAGATAAGCAGTGGAATATGCTATTCTAAGGTCATGCGATTGGCTGATTGAATTCTCCTTTACCGTGTGTCTTAGTCACTGTTCTGTGACTGTGAAGAGACACCATGACCAAAGCAACTCTTAGAAAAGAAAGAATGTATTGGGGTCTTGCTTACAGTTTCAGAGACTGAGTCCATTATCATATTGGCAGAGAGCATGGCAGCAGGAAAACAGGGTACTGAGAGTTACATCCTGATCCATAGGCAGAGAGAGAGAATATGAGAATATGGATGTGTGTCTAGGCCCGGCATGTTTTTGAAACCTCAAAGCCCACCCCCCCACACCAGTGACACACTTCCTCCTACAAGGGGGCTAGCTCCTGATCCTTCTAATCCTTTCAAATAGTGCCACTTTCCTGGTGATGTATAAATCTGCGGAGCCATTCTATTTTGAACCATGATACCATGTAACCTAATGCAGTTCTGGGATTAGGATTTAGACATTCTTGAGGCAGAAAAGGTCTCATTCCACCTATGCAGATGCACTGAGGCAATTGTTGTGGTTACACCAAAAGGAATATTGCCGTGCGTCTGTTACTCTCTGTCCAGAAACACTGGAGACGGAATACTACTCCAAGGAAGTATGGGTAGGCCATTTCTTGAAACTTTGCTTATGTTTTCATCCAAAATAAGTACCATAGATTGTTTGGCTGTTTCTAAAAATAAGATCTAACAAGTTGAGATCACTTACTGCTGCCTTCTCAACTCCTAAAGGTGCTACAATCCTACCATTCCTCAGTCCTCTTAGCAATGACCTTGGGGAAAGGAAGGGTTAGGGCCAAAGGTTCTCAGCCTGTGGGTCTCGGCCCATTCGGGAGTCACATATCAGATATCCTGCATATCAGATATTTACATTACAATTCAAAACAGTAGCATAATTACAGTTATGAAGAAGCAACGAAGTAATTTTATGGTTGAGGGGGTCACCACAATATGAAGACCTAAAGGGTCACAGCATTAGGAATGTTGAGAACCACTGGGTTAGACCCTGTGCTCATTCAGTACCACCCTCTGGAGTGCTGACTCATTGCTTTCATTGCTACAAAGAACATGCATCAATGCCAGTAAATTTCCAAAAAGCTAGAGACCATCCTGTAAGCCATAATGATTCTTGAAGCTGAAGTTCTACTTAAATGCAGTCACTAAAGCCAGCCCTGGGATTGACCCTGCAGCAACTCCTGCCACTGTAGTACTTCAGGCCTTCTCTTCCTGACTACAAAACTTAAGAGTTCCACCTGCATATCTTCCCTCACACGACCAAGCAGGAGTGTATTTCTGCATATAAATATATGGTGTCTTCACTCTGGACCTGAGCTAGGGACATTTCTGCATATAAATATATAGTGTCTTCACTCTGGACCTGAGCTAGGGACATCTCTGCATATAAATATATGGTGTCTTCACTCTGGACCTGAGCTAGGGATATCTCTGCATATAAATATATGATGTCTTCACTCTGGACCTGAACTAGGGATATCTCTGCATATAAATATATGGTGTCTTCACTCTGGACCTGAACTAGGGACTGACTGCCTGCTTGAGAACTGAGATGCATGCTAGCGTTCTTTTTGTTCATCCTGAACACAGGATGCTCAGGCTTAACATTTACCAGAAGAGTTGTAGGAAAATTCTCAGCCCATCCAATATACAGCAGTAATAATATTCAAGTGAGGGGCTGGAGAGATGGCTCAGAGGTTAAGAGAATTGCCTGCTCTTCCAAAGGTCCTGAGTTCAATTCCCAGCAGCCACATGGTGGCTCACAACCATCTGTAATGAGGTCTGGTGCCCTCTTCTGGGCTGCAGGCATACATACAGATAGTATGCATAATAAATAAATAAATATTAAAATAAAAAGCATTATACTTTCATGAACTACATGTACAAGTGTTCTATTAATAATAATAATAATAATAATAATAATAATAATAATAATATTCAAGTGACCTGGAATGACCCTTAGCTGCTATCAAAATAATATTCTTGTGGCCTGATGCACAACCTTAGTGTAATTAACAGTGGCTGTGTAAAATACCCATTTTCAGAAACAAGACACATCAGTGAAACAATTAAAACAGAACTGAACTTTGTCTTGGCTACTTCGTGGTGTAGTTTGGATACCAGGGTTGATGAGGCCATCTCACATCGCTTGTCACAGAATCTAGAAGCTAGGGAAGACTTCTCAGCCCACCCCACATCCACAGTACCTAGGGTGGGATGGACTCTCAGTCTCTTGATGATGGAAAAGCCTTGTTTATTTTAGAGAACTTTCCCAGGCTGGGCATGTGCATGCCTATCAACATAGCACTTGACCAGGGTGGAGGTGGGGTAGAGATAGAAGGGTCAGAAGTTCAAGGCAATCTTGAGCTGTATTTTAAAAAGGGGCAAAGAGCAGAAACTGATGGCCCACCTCTTTTCTATGGCCATGAACCGTCTCTTTATATGTATTCTTTTTACCCAATCAAGGAATTACTATCACGGCTAGTAACAGAAGACAAGCCTCCAGAGGCCTTCTTCCCCCCACCCAAGCCACAGCCTCAGCTGTACCCCGTGGGTTCTCCCTTAGCTTCCATGAAGCCCTCATTCAGATGGGCTCATGAGGAGGCCTTCCATTCCTGTGCCTGCAGCTGCTGGGGGTGTGTAGGGTCACCATAAAAGTCTTTATAGATGTGAGAGTCGTGTGACCCATCAAAGGTCAAAGTCTGTTGCTTTGATTTGAGTTCCTGCTAACCAGACTGTTTGCCAAAGAACACCTTCCCCAAATCGAGTCTTTACTGGGGACACTGGAGTTGGGTGGTTTGGATTGAGCCCCATGCATCCCCAAAGCTGCCAGGCAGCAGCATCTCAGAGCCAGCAGTACCATCTGTCGGTGTGTGGCGGGCACCCCCACCCCTCCCGGGACAGTAATGCAGTACAATGCAGTACATTAGTGCTGACAGTTGCCAATATGTAGGTTGGCCAGGTGTCCACAGCACGGGGCCACATGAAGACAACAAGCTCCGTCTATTTGAATCCCAAGACACCTGTGACCCTCTGGCTAGGGCATGGGGAGGGAAGGACGGGCAGGGATCCTTTGATGCCCATCCTCCCTCCACCGCCACCACCTCAAGTGCTTTTGTGCTATCTTGTGATTGCAGGACCTGCAGCGAGATATCGAACAGCACAGCGCGGGGGTAGAGTCTGTGTTCAATATCTGTGATGTCCTGTTGCATGACTCCGACGCCTGTGCCAATGAAACGGAATGTGACTCAATCCAGCAGACAACCAGGAGCCTGGACAGGCGCTGGAGGAACATTTGCGCCATGTCGATGGAGCGGCGCATGAAGTAAGCGGCCACTTGGACTTGGACATTGTAACCGTGGCCAGCCTTTCACCTCATGACCACAGGACCCATGCTCTGTTCAGGTCACTTAGAAATACACCAAGAAATAGCCCAGTCAGCCGAGTATTTCCCTAGCATGGTGAGGCCCTGAGTTCAGTCCCCAACACAGCATAAACAGGGAACGGTTGTGCGTGCCTATTTTCCCTGTCCTTAGAGGTGGAGGCAGAAGGATGGAGAGTTCAGGGCCAGCCTGGGCTACAAGAGACTCTGTCTTAAAAAAAGAGAGAAAAGAAAAGAATTAGCAGAGAAGGCCTTGTAGGGTAAGCAAGGATATCACTGAAGAAAAAAAAATCCAATTGGGGTACGGCCTTTCTCCAGACACAGAGCGTGGCAGGCAGCCCCAACTCTTGCCCAAGCCACGGAATTAGGATTTCTGAGGTTCCCGGGTCCCTCAGGAGAATTGAGTTTAGACCGAGAGCAAACATCCTTAGGTATTTCCTGGAAAGGGGTGTCTCCCTAAATAGTTCAAGTAAAAGGTTGGGAATGGGCCCCATCAAGGGACACTCAGCTCCAAAACAAACAGACCGTACTGAGTGGACACGGGCAGTTATGCTAACTAACCCCCGGTTTTCCACTTCTGTCAGGATCGAGGAGACCTGGCGGCTGTGGCAAAAGTTTTTGGATGACTATTCCCGCTTCGAGGACTGGCTCAAGTCTGCCGAGAGGACGGCAGCCTGCCCCAATTCCTCCGAGGTGCTGTATACGAATGCCAAAGAGGAGCTGAAGAGGTTTGAGGTGAGCCTTTCCCGTCCCGTGCTCCCACTACGAGCCTCAGAAGCTGCTGCATGGCTTTGGGTGGCCAGAGGCTCCCAACACTGTCAGAGCCCTCAGCCTGCCACCAGCTGCTAAGTCAGCTTTGATGGAAATGTCCCCGTGTGCCCGTGCCCATGCTGTGCCAGGCTCACAGGCCTGGGATATAGTACTCTGCCGCCCTCGCTGCCCGGGTATCAGCAAGCCACTTGGGAGTTGGCAAAGCGGGGTCCCATCCCTTTGCCTGTCTGGCACTGACCTCCACTTTGTACCACAGGCCTTTCAGCGGCAGATTCATGAAAGACTGACCCAGCTGGAGCTCATCAACAAACAGTACCGGCGGCTGGCCAGGGAGAACCGCACCGACACTGCCAGCAAACTGAAGCAGATGGTGCACGAGGGTAACCAGCGTTGGGACAACCTGCAGAAGCGGGTCACCGCCATCCTGCGAAGACTCCGGGTAACCTGCCTAGCGACCCGGGGTGCTGTTGGTAGATAGGCAGGGAGAAGAAACGTGTGATAGGCTGTGGCAGGCTGGCAACACAGCAGCAGGTTTCCCCGCAGGCCTGAGTTACCTTAACATTCCTCCCATGGCTGCCAACGTTTGTTTCTAAAGAGGGATTTGCATAGGGCGTCTCAGGCAGAGCCTGTTTGTGTGGTCTGTGTTTCCAAACACATCTGTCTTTACAACAGCTGTAACCTGATGGTACAGGTGTTGGCACATGGGTCAGGGGCATTGCTGTCCTGGGTCAGCGAAGGCACACCCGCGCCTCTGCAAGAGCTTGCTCTACCTGTTTTTATCAGCCCCACGTCAGGAATGTGGATAAAACAGAGTGTCTGTACCCGCTCTATGTGTGGGGCATTGGAACAGTGACTGTCCGGGGGTTAGAGCACACTGAATAACCTCAAAGCAGTCTAGGAAGATGAGAACCTAGGCTTTTTGTTTTATTTGTTTTTAACCCTCTTGGAAGGCCATTGGCAGGTTGTCTGATAGTCTAGGCATTAATCTATTTCCTGCTGATTTTGGCTGTTACTAGTCTCAACTTTTACTTGGCCCTACATGCCACATTTGTCTGGAAGTTGCTGCCGGACTCTTAGAAAGCGGTAACCGGGGAGGTCTCGCTCATTGGAGAGAATGAATTTGTTTTACATGTTCAGAATTATAAAAGAGAAAATGGGCACTCAGACCTAAGCTTAGTCACTGTCCTTTTGTGTTAAAAGACTGAACCTCACCATGTAGTCCAGACTGGCTTAGAACTCACAATCCTCCTGCCTCTGCCTCCCGGCTGCTAGGATTACAAGTGTGTGCCACTATTCCCGACCTGATGACCACCTTCCTGTGTTGAAGTTGCTCTTCTCTCATGAAAAAGCCAATGCAGAATAATAAGAAAAGCCCCCAGGCAACCTACCCTGCCCTCCAAGGTTCCCTCCATGGATGGGGAAATTCATTGATTTAGACTAGAAAATCCAGAATTTAAAATTCCTGAAAGGACCAAAGAGAATACGTTGCACATTACCCAAGCCCTCCTGCATTCCCTGATGTGGAAGCCCAGGCCCTGAATGTGTGTGGGGGAGTGGGGGGATGCCACACAGCCAAGGAAAGACCCCAGGCTCTGGTTGCAATGTCTGAAGCTGCTGAAATACCCCAGAGATGGGGTTCTGTCTGAGAGCTCTGAGCGCCCTTTCCTGCGAGCCAGATCTGATCGTGCCATGCACACATGGCTTTTCATCCTTCTTTCACAGTATTTCACCAACCAAAGGGAAGAGTTTGAGGGCACCAGGGAGAGCATTCTGGTATGGCTCACAGAGATGGACCTGCAGCTGACCAACGTGGAGCACTTCTCAGAGAGTGACGCCGAGGACAAGATGCGCCAGCTGAATGTAAGTGCGGCTCCCTCAGCGTCTCGTGAAAAGGTGCCTCTGCAGAAGAGCGCTGGCCAAGTGCACATTCGAGCTGGTACTCAGAATGTTCCAGAATGCTCCAGGCAACAGGCTACATTCCACTTGAATATTTATATTGCTTATAGGCTGGGACACTGGACATTTTAGTTAAGGGCTCATTCTGAGGAGAATGTTCACTTCAGGTTCTAAACTGAACTTCTTAACGTTGCCATTTCTCCGGTACTTGAGACCACACAGGGCCAGCGAGGTGTCACCCGTGGGGCCAAGACCAGATACCTTCTGCTGTTTACAGTCAGTCTGGAAGTTTTATTTTGTGCTTATGTTTGTTTCGAGACAGGATCTTGCTATATATATAGCCCAGGGCAGCCTTGAACTCTTACACTATCCTTCTTCAGCCCCCCAGTGATGTGATTACAGGCGTTTGCCACCATGTTCAGGCTCATGCCGCAGTTTTCCCTCAGAGTCGTTCCCTCTTTGGTTAGAAAATATCAACAAGTGAAAACCCATTGCCCTTTAATATAACAGGCACTAATTATTGTTATTACTGTGCCCACCAAGGAGGTGCCCATTAGTGGTTTATATGGGGAAATAATCTGTTCCCACCAAGTGTCAAGAAGATAAATTCTCTCCCCCATACCCAATAATGATGAATGTCTACCTGGGTTAAATTTAGAATTTTTTTTTTAATTGAAAAAAGTATAGAGTTATTTCGAATTGTTAGATTAACACTGTCCGTTCCTTAAAAGCAGATGCCATGGTACCAGGTACAAAACAGAAAGGGAAAAGGGACCATAATGACATCTAACGCTTTCCCCCACCCATGATCCTGTCATGTGAAATCGACACTAGACACACCAGGACAGAGTCTCCCTTGAAAGTCCCATCTTATCTCCCTAACAGGGCTTCCAACAGGAGATCACACTAAACACCAACAAGATCGACCAGCTCATCGTGTTCGGGGAGCAGCTCATCCAGAAGAGCGAGCCCCTGGATGCTGTGCTGATCGAAGACGAGCTGGAGGAGCTGCACCGCTACTGTCAGGAGGTGTTTGGCAGAGTGTCCCGCTTCCATCGGCGACTGACCTCCCATGCCCCGGTAAGGGTGACCCACCGGCCAGGGCTCCCAGCTGCCTAGTGAGCACATAGTGCTGGATGTTTGAAGAGTCAGGAAGGTCACCTTATACCAGACCCGTGATTTACTTCTTGCATTTAAAAGAAAGGGCTTCAGTGGTTCCTGGTCCAGGGGATTGAAGCAGCTCCTTTGTTCCCTGGAGCACTCCCCATCCAGTCATGGTGAATTTGGCAATGTGCTAGTTTTATGCTGAATCTTGCTTGCCACCTCTCCACCATCTTTGTGTGAATCTAATGGCAGTGAAGTTAATGTTTTAAGGGTTTTGTTTTGTTTTTTAGATTGTTTTTCGTTATGTGTGTATTTGTGTGAGTTTGCACACACGAATGCAGGTGCCCCTGTGTTGTGTGACAAAACTTTACCCAGGGAGACACAGCACACACATCCACTTACCCCACATAGGGAGCCCACAATACAGATACCACCAGAGTCCAACCTGGTGAACCTATGGGTTTTATCAGGGCTGCTTACAGGAATGTGGGTGAAGGGTTTTACTTACAGGAGCAGAAATTACTCAAAAACAGCAGTGTCACCAAAGCCCAGCCCATCATGGGTGACAGCCCACAAAAGCTGGGAACTTGAAGCATACCACACAGCCTGCAGGCAACTCAGCAGTTGCAGAGTGGCCTTTCCAAGTGCCTCAGTTGATCTAAACTTCTTCCAGGCAGCTCAGCTGGTTCCTGCTTCCAAGCAGCGGCTCTGGTCTCAAGAATCTTCCTTGCAGCTTGGCTTCATTGGGTCTTCTTGGCAGCTCAGCTTCCTTCTATCTGAGGGGGCCTCCCAGCTCTTACTGCTTACTCTGGCAGGCCTAGTGACTCTGATCAGTTTCAGGGACTTACTGATCAGCTATTTTGAGTTTGTGTACCTTCCTGTTTAAAGAGCTTCCCTTCAGGATGGAATGTTTCAGTCTCCATAGGAGACCATTAACGAACACCCTGGAGGCCAGAATAAGATGTCAGATCCCTTGGTGCTGGAATTACAGGCAGTGTGAGCTGCCTGACATGGCTGTTAGGAATTAACTCAGGTCCTCTACAAGAGCAGTAAGTACTGTTAACCGCTGAGCCATCTCTCCAGCCCCTAGGGGGATTTTTTTCCCTCTGTATTTCTCTTTTTCTCTTTCTCTAGTGTACGACAGTTTGAAGTATTGAGTTTTGAACTGTGTGGCTAATGAAGAGGAAATCCTAAGTGCATTGCTACAGAGCCATGGCATACCAGCCTCTGGGCCCTCTGCTGGAAAAGTGGATCGAGTCTCAGTAGTGCTCCTTTAAGTGTATGCTCTAGTGTTACAGGTTGTAGGCAGTGTGACATTATACCTCTGAAGGTGGATTCCTTAGACCTGCCTTGTAAGACACAACAGTGGCCATGTTTTCCAGAGCTGTTTTCTTTTTTTTTTTTAAGATTTATTTATTTATTAGGTATACAGTGTTCTGCCTGCATATGTCCCTGCAGGCCAGAAGAGGGCACCAGATCTCATCATAGATGGTTGTGAGCCACCATGTGGTTGCTGGGAGTTGAACACAGGACCTTTGGAAGAGCAGGCAGTGCTCTTAACCACTGAGTCATCTCTCCAGCCCCTGCTTTTCCAAGCTGTTTTTAATGATAGTACTCTAGAATGTTCTTTTTCAAGATAATGATTAAGAAACTAATTTTTAAAAATGGTGCCAAGCACAACAATAATAGGAACAAAAATGGCATGGGGGAGTCTTTTGTTTTTTTTTTTTTTCACTCTTACTGATTTAGAGCAACAGTTACTTAGCAGTGGGCAGGATGGTGCCTGGGATTTGTGCTCCTTTCCCCTGCCCGTATCATCCTCAGTGCAGGGCTTTTCTGGCCAATGTCGGCATCCCCTAGATGAAATCTGCCTAGTTTGGATTATACACATTAGCCACTTGAGAATTTATTTTGCCTTTTCCTCTCACATCCGAAAGCTTCAATGCCTTTACCTGTCCCGTGCTCTGTTCTCACCGTTAAAGTATCCAATGTGCCAGCTTTCCAACGTGACCTGCTGTTTCCCTCAACCCGAGACAGTTGGTGAAGTTTGCATGGAGCTAAGGCTCTCATTCAGCGTTTCCATCTTATTGGCCACCATGTCTGGCTAGATGGTTTCTTTTGTGTGTGCTCCGACTGGCAGACTTCAAGTGTAGCTGTTTTCCTATCAGTGTAGCCTCAGAAAGTCTCCAAGAAGTCCCCATTTTTAAAGGTATTTGCTTAGAGTTTTCTCTGTAGCGCACTATAATGTAAGCTGAATAGAGACACTGTATTATGAAATTGGAAAATAAAAGATAGGATGGAGGGAGGTGGAGAGGTAGCGGCTGGCAAAGTGCTTGCTGTATTAAGCATGAGGACCTGAGGTTGGATCCCTAGCACTCACATAAAAGGCTGGGCACAGCAGTAGGCACCTGTCACCCTGTGCTGGAAGACAGAGACTGGGGAGGAGCCTGGCGCTTCCTGGCCAGCTAGTCTAGTTGAGTCGGCCAGCTCCAGGTTCAGTTGATGGGATGGAGTGCGATGGAGGAAGGCACCTGTGTCAGTTAACTTAGCTTGTGGCAGTCACAAAATACCTGATGGAAACAACTTCCGGAAGAAAGGTTCCTTTCCGTTCGCAAAGGGTACCGTGCATCATGGCAGGGAAGTCACGTGGCAGGAACGTGAGGCACCAGTCAGAAAGCAGACAGCTGGTACTCTGCTCACTTTTTCCTTTTTATTCAATCAGGGACCCCAGCCCATAGAATGGTGCTGACCCATGTTTAGGGTGGGTTTCCCCACCCCATTTGCCCTAATCTCTAAAACCCCTCAAAGGCATGCCCAGACTTGTGTTTCCATGGTAGTTCTGAATCTCATCAAGATGACATCAAGATTAACTATTACAACACCTAGTATCACCTTCATATGCACACATACACATAGATGTACATGCATATACATGCACTGCACACACACAGAACAAACTAGAACATGTGATTCTATCAGCCATATGACACTTTAGCCATTGCTTCTTTCTCTTCTAGATAAACTTATTTAGGTTAGATGTTCAACTTTATTATTATTATTTTATTTTCTTCTAAGAAAAAAGGGCTAGGCTTCTCTAAAAATTCAGAGTCCAGGCTCCACTGTGGATTGTTCGAAGTTGAATAACCATACATAAGACCTGAGACCTTTTAATAAATGGCATGCGTGCGTGTGCTTGCACATCTGTGTGTGAGGGGTTGCACAAATGTACCATGAAGCACGTTAGAGGTCAGAGGACAATTGCATTTGTCGGACCGCACCTTCCAGAGTAGACGGACTTATCTTTTGGGGCCTCAGCTCACAAAAAACTGACATGGAGATTTATAATTAATTATGAAAGCTTGGCCTTAGCTTAGGCTTGTTTCTAACTAGCTCTTATAACTTAAACTAACCCACATATTTTAATCTACGTCCTCCCATAGTTTGTTCCCTCATCTCCATTATATCCATCCTGGTTTATTTCACATCCAGCTGGCAACTCCGCCTCTCTTCTTCTCCTGAGACCTCTCTGTCCCCAGAAGTCCTGCCTAACCTCTTCCTGCCTCACTTTTGGCCATCCAGCTCTTTATTAAACCAATCACGGTGACACATCATACCCAGTGTAAAGGAATATTCCATAATATTCCAATTTGCTTGCTGCTGTGTACACAGACTAAGCCGTATAGGTCAAACAGGCAAATGAGTATCCAGGAACTCTGCCTCCAGTAGGAGCACTAGGATTTGAGTCACTCAGAATACTATGTCCTGTTTTCACTTGGGTTCAAAGGATTCCATAGGTCCTCACACATGTGTGGCAATGGCTTTTTCTCTGAGCCCTCTCCCCAGTCCACCCTCTCTCGGCTCCTTTTTAAGTACTTAAGAAATGTTAATGCCAGTTGTTCTCAGAATTGCTAGACAGGCCGACTCCCAAAGCTCTTTACAGCGGCAGCAGCCTTTAAACCACTTCATCCTAAAACCGGGGCCCTCTCGTTTAGAGCCTAGAAGATGAAAAGGAAGCCTCCGAGAATGAGACGGACATAGAAGACCCAAGAGAGATCCAGGCTGACTCTTGGCGTAAGAGGAGAGAGATGGAGGAGCCACCGTCTTCCCAGTCACTGTGCCACCTTGTGCCCCCGGCTCTGGGGCATGAGCGGTCTGGCTGTGAGACCCCCGTCAGTGTGGACTCGATCCCGCTGGAGTGGGATCACACAGGTGATGTGGGGGGATCTTCTTCTCATGAAGACGACGACGAGGGTCCGTTCTACAGCGCACTGTCAGGTAAAGGCAGTTACCCGAGGCCTGTGCACTTGACCCGTTTGACTATCTCTAGCACCCTAGCAGCTTGGTGATTTCTTGGTGATCCAGAGTCCAGACAGTGGATGGTGCAGGCTTGTGGCCTTCTGGCTTCTGCCCTGCCCACCTTTTGTGTCACCTGAGAATGAGCTCACTCCTATTATAAGCGGAATGAAATTCATCTTCTGATGTTTTTCTAGCCAATGGGAGACTCATCGATTGATTTTTCTATGGTGTTAATTATTATGAGTTAGTAGACCGAGTGTGGCCCTTTTTGCCATGTGTGCCCCTAACACACCACTGCCATGAACAGGAGTTGACTGGGAAAAACCAGTCTTTCTGGTTTCAAAAATCCTTTTGCTAGAAAAGCTGGCAATGAATCTGCTATGTTGACTTACTGCCTAGGCTTTACCCTGCTGGCACCTCCGGTGAGGACAATGACATTGTTCTTTTTCAGATGTAGAAATCCCTGAAAATCCTGAGGCATATCTTAAAATGACCACAAAATCTTTGAAAGCATCTTCTGGTAGGCCCCTGCCCGTGCATGTGTCTCAACATGGCCGCATCCCATGGCACACACTGCATCCTAAACCTCGCTCCCGCGTCATGTCTGACCTGTGCCTTCTGTGGACACCATGCGCCTTGGTCCTCGTGTCATGGTGTATTTATGCTGCTGTACTCACCATACCTGCGTGCTCCTTACAAGATCCCACGCCATTCCAGAGTGGTCTCCACCTCCCTCCCCCGCCCACTTCTAGTCCGGCAGAAGGAGTTTTTGTCATGGTTCCTTTTGTTATTTTTTTCCTCCACCTAACTGGAGCCCCTCAGCACAGGCCAAGCTTTCTTCATGGTGGCTTGGTTTCAAACTACTTCCTTGCTTCTGGTGATTTCCTGAGATGTGTGGCTGGGGTTAGAAAGGACCTCTGCCTTTGCCACGGCAGAAGAAACCTCGCCTTGATTTGCAGCTCTGGTCCTAACCCCCAACCCTGTCCCATCTCTAGTGGTGGTAGAGAGCTGTCAGCGGCTGTTTGGTCCTTGCCCCCATCGTCACGGTCACCCTTGCCCTCCCTCCTCAGAAGCCTTCTAGCCTCTTGGCCCCCAGCCCTGGCCTTCCTGCCCAGGGTCCCCTCCAGACTAGACACCAGCACCACCCAGAATGCCACTCATCATTTCCTGCAGCAAATCATATGTCCGTTGTGCTCCGCTGTGGTCCCATCTCGTGAAGGTGCAGTGTTGCTCAGTTGCATGACCCATTTCATGTCCTTCCAAGACGTACTGACATTTTGCAAACATGCATGCTTTGCAAGGAAAGCTGCGGAACTCATTTCGATACTATAACCTGATGCCATGTCACCTGTCACCATGTTTATGTCACTAAACAGGAATCCTCTGGTTGGAGGGTAGACCCTAACCGGTGTGACGCTTTGTTTCAGGCAAATCCATTGCTGAGGGCCACGTGTGGCATGTTCCAGACAGCCCTTCCCATGCCAAGCATCACTACAAACCAGTGGAAGATGACAGGACTGTGGCGCCGGTCCCCTCAGATGCCAGCACCCCTTACAAACCAGCCTATGTAAGTCTGGACCCATTGGGAATGTAGCCCAGAGACAGGCGTGCACTTCCGATCTCGCTTTTGAACTGTCTTGCTTGAAGTGGTGGGATTTCTTCTGAGGGGACTTCAGGAAGGGGATGTCAGTGATAGAACTTGCCTAGCTTGTCCTGAGTTCAGCTCCTAGCGCCACCCAAAAAACAAAGCCCTTTGCTGAGGTCCCCATGCTTCAGTAGAACCCAGAAAATGGACTAGCTTGAGGGTTTCCAGCCCCCAAATCTATGTGTTGATAGTGACCCGATGAGAGAACTAGCTCCCTTAGAGGCAATTTATCTGTATAAATAACAGAGTCTCCCTAAGCTGCCTCTTGGCTCTCAAATCCTTGCTGTATTTGCTTTCTGATTGCACATCAGAAAACAAAAAAAGGTGCTTCATTATCTGAAGCGGTGTGCTGAGGGTGTGGATTTGGTTCCCTGGTCATGACAGTGGGTATACAGCATTCTGTAAGCCTTCCCCAGCTGACAGCAGACCTGCTTCATACAGTGGGATTGAAGTGCGTACAGGGAGGAGGCCCTTGGAGGTGTGGTCCTTACTAATACAGTATTGGGGTGCTTTTTGTGCCAAAGCGCCTGCGCCTCTTAGTTGCATGGGTTCCTGATGCGCTTTGGTGATGCAGCAGGTGGCCATAGATCCTTGTTAGTCCAGAGCATTAATGATGAGGGATTGATTAACTGGGTTAAAATGCTGATTGCATTGTAGTGCCACAAGCATCTTTCAGGGAAGCCAAACAGCAGTGGAGGTGGAGGACCAAGGGGCTTAGCCAAAATGCCCTCTACATCTAGGGGTGACTGTTACTACGGATTGGAAACAGTTCTGCCTTTAACCGGTCAAATCTGATATAGCCTTGGCTGAATCAGAGCTCCTCCTCTGGCCTAGCAGACAGCTTCTACTTCTGTCTCCATCCATGTTACAGCCTAAGACTGGGGAAGGAGACCCCACCCAGCCCCGGTACCCTCCCTACCCTGTGCCTCAGCTTCTTCCAGGCGTTAGGCCTGTGTTCCTCACCTGGCCAGTTTCAGCAGCTCGGCTTTTCTACTTGATGCGAAACCACGTGTGTTACCAGAGGTCGGAAGTCTCCCTTTCCCCATTCCACACAAAGAGGCCGTGTAGACAATGATCCAGAGAAAGCCCAGCTTTTCTCAAAGGGATCCGTTTATTTTTGGAAAGGCGTGACATCATAGGCCACTCAGCTCTGTGGGAGCAGAAGAGTCACTGTGTGCGTTGAAGAATGGATGACTGAGAATGAATGGCCCAGGGGAGCGGAGGATCCTGTGTTTCCCATTCACAGCCAGGAGAATGCCGAACACCTCAACAGGGTGACGTGGAGGAGCAGGGAGAGTTTGCGGAACACTGTGAGGGTGTAAAAGTGCCCCCACGGGAGCTGTCTCATAAGATTGGTGATCACTTTGACCCTTTGTGTGGAGACTCCTAGGAAGGCTGCGGACTAAACTGGCCATTTTACCCCGTCACTGACATTCCATTTGCTTCATGGGCTGTCGCCGAGGCCTGCTTTCAGCCCTCGGCTCTGCTCGCTTACAGATCTTGCCATGTGCAAGGATGCGTCTGTCACGTATCAGTTACCTTTTGGTGGGAAGGGTCCCATGTCTTTCTCTACTGTTCCCATGAACCCAGGTGTTCTTTAGCTCCCTTTCTGGTTTTATAGATATATAAACCTAAAACATTGGTTCATTCCAGGTAAAGTTCCTATTACGTCAAGGCACTGATGATGGCAAAGAAGGCCCAAGAGGCTCAAAGGGCAGTCCCCAGCAGGAAGGTGAACAGCTGGACACTTTAACGGGACAGCAGCCAGGTACCAAAACTGGGCATGCCTTAGCAGATATGGAGTTTGGGATCTGGGCCTAGTCAGGTGTTTACGTCGACATTTATCTGATAGAACATTAGAGATCAAACAGTGACATAATTCACCGAGACTGCTGAACTTTCCCCACAATAGCCTCTGTTATTTCAAAATAAGCCCATTTGTGTTTATGAATGGATCTCTAAGCATCTCACTTTAAATTGGATTTTTTCCATTGTGGTGCTGGGGTTAGGCTTGGTAGGCAAAATTGTGTCTCTGGCCCTTTGAACAGTGTTCTTTATACACTGCGTGACAAAAGGATCCCCAAAAGATGAAATGCATGGTTTGTTTTATTTTTTTGAGACAAGGTTTCTCTGTATAGCCCTGACTGTCCTGGAACTTGCTCTGTAGACCAGGCTGGCCTTAGAGAGCTGCTTGCCTCTGCCTCTCAAGTGCTGGATTTAAAGGTGTGTGCCACCACCACCTGGGCATGAAATGCATTATTTTGTTTCTGTTGTTTGGGTTTTTATTTATTTATTGGCTTTCTAGATAGAGTTTCTGTGTAACAGTTCTAGTTGTCCTGGAACGAGCTCTTGTAAGACCAGGCAGGTCTACAAGGTCCGCCTGCCTCTGCCTCCCGAGTGCTGGGATTAAAGGTGTGTGCCACCACCAACCCACTCTGAAATGCATATTTTAATGACTTCCCATGTATGGAAAAACAAGATGGGAAGGCGGAAATTAACACATTTGTCTCAACTGCCTTGTGAGACAAGTTCTATAGTTACCAAAGTAGTTGCTGAACTAAATGTGAAGTCGAATGATCAGAATGCCCGCATCATGCTCATCATTCGAGTCCAAACAGCAACACCATCTGAATTGCTGAGCTGGAGGTTAGAACAGCAATTGGCCACAGGTTGGGTTTCCTCACCCTCTGTCCCCACATCTTTCTAGCCTTTGGAGGGGGTGGGCCTTGAACATGGAGATTCCCTGGCTCCCATCCTCCTGCCTGGAGCATCCTGGACTCACTTGTGCCGCCCTGACCACTCACACACAGCTGAGAACATGTGCTCGCTTTAACCGGCAGCTTTGGATTCCAGGTGCCTTCGACAGATGGGAGCTGATTCAAGCGCAGGAGCTTCACGGCCAACTCCGAATAAAAGAGAACGCGCAGCGGCTGAATTCTGACCTCGGCACCATCGCCGCTTGGCTTGAAAAAACTGAAGCGGAGCTGGAAGCCCTGAGGCTGGCAGAGCCTCCCTCCGACGTCCAGGAAATGGCACTCAGGGTGAAGAAACTGCAAGTGAGTGGGAGCCCTGGGGGAGGGGAGAGGAAACCAGAGCAGGCATGCACTTTGGTGCCGAACAAACAGATCAGACCTGGGTTTGGTTGTAGCTGGCAGCATGCAGCTAATGTGTGTAGAGAGGTCATCCGCTTTCCCTTCAGTAACGACAGATGTGCAGGTTTCTCTTTACACATGGAAGAGAATCTACTGGATAATCGCCCTGCTGAGATGTGGCTCAGATCCTAAGGGCTGCAAAGATCTGGATTTTAGTTCCTTGAGGAGGTGCTGGTAGCCAGTGTGAGGCAGCATAAAGCCAACCTTCTGACCTGTATGAGGTGGTTCACACAGGCCTAACAGTGGCTGTTTCCTGGCTCACTGGCTGAGGAGTCCTGTGGCCTGACTTAGCTACCCTGTTGTACAGTTAGGATTTGTTACCTATGTCATCAGCCCTAGGCTCAGGAGCAGTGGCCCAGGGTGCAGGGGAGGGGCAGCTTAAACTCTGCATTTTGGGGGTGCCCTGAGCAAATAAATCTGAGGTCCTGAAGCCTAGGACGGGAGGCTTGGGGGTTGTCCAGTTTCTCTCCACATCTGTTTTTCCCAGGTTACCATTCCTCTTAAAGGGGTGACATTACTGGGGTACCTAGGGGCAAATGCAAAATAGCTACGTATTTTTTTATCTGGGAAACATTTAGTCTTACCGAGAATGGTTCCTAAGACAGAGAAGGGACTGTGGAGGTCAGTGGAGTCTCCTCGTACCTCTGGGCTAGTCTGTCAGCCAGGAGGCAGGCCTCTGCCGTCAGACCCAGCCAGGCAGCCAAGTCCATTAGCCTTGTAAGGCAGCTCTCTCAGCTGACACTCCCCAGCCATTCACAGCCGCCTTCTCTCTCGTCTTGGTGGCCACTGCTTGGAGAAGTGTGGAGAAGGTATTGCAAAGGAGCCCCTTTTTCCTGCCGCCAGAAGTCTTAATCTGATCTGTTCCCTTGGTGGCAGGAGATATTAAAAGCCTTTGCTACCTACAAGGCCTTAATGGCCTCTGTCAACGTGAGCCACAAGGAATCTCTGCCGAGCGAGAGCCCCGAATCCACAGAACTCCAAAATAGGCTCCACCAGCTGAGCCTGACCTGGGACACGGTCCAGGGGGTGATGGACAGCTGGAGAGAGGACTTACGACAGTCCCTCATGCAGTGCCAGGTACGTTGACTCAGCCCAAGGTTCTGGCCCAGCAGCAGCCCGGCCCACGTGCTAGGAGCCACAGATAACTTTACCATCACCAGAGCTGGCTTGGGTTAGGGAGTAAGAAAGCCCCTATGCCCCTCCTCCCATTAAATGGGCCCTGTGCTTGCCCAGGATTTCCAGGCCTGTTGCTCAAGCCCACAGTAAAGGTAAAGCAAGTTTGCCACCGGGTTAAGGAAACTGCCTCTCTCTATCCTTTGAGAGATTCAGAGTCCTAGCCCTGTAACAGGAGAGCACTTCGTTTCCCGAGGCTGCCTTCTAAGACCTGGGAATCATCCAGCGCCTGTCTCTGGGGCTCATCTGTAGGACTAAACAATGGTGTATAGAAGGCTGGCCAAGCTGAGAAAGGCGAGCCAGCTCCCTCTGATGAGAATGTTGTCTCTAAAGGACTTCCACCGGCTGAGTCAGGACTTGCTCCTGTGGCTAGCGAGTGCAGAGAGCCGAAGGCAGAAGGCACGCGTTGTCGCCAGCCCAGAGGCAGACCGCGAGGTGCTCCTGGAGTGTCAGAAAGAGCTCATGGTGAGTCCCTGCCACAGGACCACTTCTGTACTTCCACAGGTCCGAGCTTCCCCTAGCATTCTGGGCACCACAGTGCCATAGGTGGCTGTGACTTAGGCTCATGTAGAGAGGTGAAGATCCTCTCTCGGGAATTAGGGGCATCAAGTGTTTTAAAAATACTTTTGAAACTCAAGCCCACTGAAGCATTTTTCCCCACTAATATATTCATCCCTGGATATCCACAGCAGAGTGGTTAGACACCTGCACACACCCAGATTTGGGGGTACTTGAGTCCATTGGGTGAAAGGTACATGGTTTTCCATATGTCATTTGTTTACCACCTACACAAATCCTCCCATATATACCTTGAATCCTCTTGATTTCTTACACTTCTTAGTATAATGTAAATTTGTTGTGTAAATACTATACATCTCTATTACACCACACTTAGGGAATAACAGCAAGGAAAGCATTTATTTTTTCCTCTTTTGAGACAGGGTTTCTCTGTAACAGCCTCGGCTGTTCTAGAACTAGCTCTTGTAGACCAGGCTGGCCTCGAACTCAGAGATCCACCTGGCTCTGCCTCCCTAGTGCTGGGATTAAAGGCGTGCGCCACCACCGCCCAGCTAAGGAGAGCATTTATGTGTTCAGAACAGTAGTAATTCTTTTGTTGTGAATGGTTTTTTGATCCATGGCTGATTGACTGTGGGTGCAGGACCCTGGGGCACAGAGGCCTGACTGTACTGTTCATTTTGGGGGAGCTTGAGTTGTCTATATTCATACTCAAAATTCCTGGAAGTTGTGCTTTGCACAAATAAGCCCAAGGTGAGACCTGTACATTCCCACACATTCACAAAGGGACTTGTTTTTAAATCCATAAGCTTATATGTAGTTTGATTTTTATATTTAAAATTGCTGGGCATTGCTTTAAAGGATTTTTTTTTCCCGCATTAACAGTGCCCAAGAGTACTTTCCACATGGGTGGAAATGTCCTGTCTGCCCCTCAGGTGGCTACTAAGAACTTGAAATGTGATTGAAACACATTTTCGTCTTTTAATTTGGATGGAGGTAGCAGCATAACCAGACAACAGCCCAGTGATCACCCGGTGCCTCCTCTGTCTATCTAAGCTGAGGGTTTGACCTCATAGCTCTCGACTGACTTCAGTTTCTCTGACCTTGTGTATAAGGGGTTTCTTTACACCACACCCCATCGCTTCTTTCCTCTGATTTCTCAACATAAATTAGAGTTAAAAGAAACTAAAAACAGGGGTGGGGTACAACCTGCTGAGCCGCTCTCTTAATAGTGCTAAGCCAAACAAGGATTGAGACTGGTACCCATGAACCATAGGAAGTCCTGGAGCTGAGTGGTACCTAGCATCCCTCCCTGAAGCAGAGAAAGCTACCCTATGCTCCCTGCTGACGACTGTTTTTGCACCATTTTGTTTTCAGCAACTGGAAAAGGAGTTGGAAGACCGTCAGCCTCAAGTCAGCTCCTTGCAGGAGATTTTCTCTGGCCTTCTCGTTAAGGGGCACGGAGAAGACTACATTGAGGCCGCAGAGAAGGTCCATGTAATCGAGAAGAAACTCAAACAGCTGCGCGAGCAAGTGGCTCAAGATCTGAAGTCCTTGCAGGAAAGACTGGTGAGTCCAGTTGTTGCTTTACCGTGTCAAGATGGCGCAGGAAGACAGGTTGTAGCCTCACTATGGTGCAAGGGGCAGGTAGTCTGTGTAGTTTCAGCCCCTTTCGGACCGCACAGCTTTATCAAATAAGTTACATAAGCCCCATGTGCGTGTTCTGTCGTTTGAAAAAAGGCAGATAGCAATTGTACCTGTCTACCAAGTAGGGTTATATGCAAGATGGGTCCCGCCATCGTCTCTACCTTTGTGCTGGAAACAAGCCTTCACGGTCTCTTATGACATGATTTCCTGCCCTCCTCACTGTCCTGGTTTCTCTTTCCTGATTGTCCTCTAATCTGCTGACTTTTGGTTCTCTTGAAAATGTGATGTAACTCAAGGGAATACCAGACTGTGATCTCCCCTGGCTGGAGATCTATCAGTGATGTATGGAGACTCACGGCCAGTTGGAGTTATGGGTTTCCTGTGCTCCAGCTCTGTGGCCTTTTTTTCTGAAAAAAGTCTATTTGCGTGGGAGGAGAGAGCAATTAGGAGGCTTTAAGCTGGGATAGGAACTAATGACTCCTTGGAAAATTATAACGCACAGTGCTCTTGAGACCACCTAGAGCTTTGTTTTGCCCTAACCTGAACAACTGGGTGTGGCTTTCAGAATCCCGACCCCTCTCTGGCCAGCTTTGATGAAGTGGACTCTGGGGAACAGCCTCCAGCTGCCTCTGTACCTGCTTCCTATGCAAAGGTGAGTGCCCTTCCTTCCTTAAAAAAATACCCAGAATGGCTCTCCAAGTCATTAAGATGACAGAAACCTGAGATTCCAGGGCCCCTTGGACTTTTTGTGACAGCACCAATCTATTTCCACCTTCTGACGAAAAGATAAACTAACATTTTTTACGATCATTTATGGATCTGTATATACCCATGCCACTGTGTGCACATGGGGGTCAGAACAACCTGTAGGTCTCTCCTTCCATCACTTGGATCCTCAGGCTTGACAGAAAGTGCTCTCACTGGCCCTTACAAGTGATTATTAAAAATGATTTTTTAAGGCTCTTGGAGAGTTGCTTTTCTCTGAGGTCACAGTAGATTATGGAAGATGAGGACCCCTGTTAAAGGTCTCCAGGAAACTGAAATATGAAAATCTTGATGGCTCAATAAAACCCAATCATGTCATCAAGTTGAATCACACACGGTGTGACTCCAGTCCCAAAAGTGTGGCGGGAAAGTGACCTAAGGGGTGGGTGCTAGCTAACCCAAGGAAGGACACATTGCATCATGGGCCTCTTTGTTCCAGCAGTTTGGAGCGGAGAGATCTACCGACGAGGAAGAGGAGACAGACAGCAGGTAATGGCATCCCAGTCCCCACAGAGACTCCCCAGCCTTCTCGGCACCACTCTCTAGGTTCATCTGCAGAGGACCAGGCTCCTCTTCCAAAAGCACACCCCGCTGTCCGAGTTACTTTTCTATTGTCGGGAGAAAATTCCCTGACAGATCAACGTGCATGAAAAATAGTTTACCCCGGCTCGCTGTTCAAGGGTACACAGTCCGTCATGGGGGTGGGGGAGGGGATCATGGTAGCGGGAGCTCGAGGCAGCTGGTCACATTGTGCCCACAGTCATGAAGCACCTAGGGATGGATGCTTGCTGCTGTCTCCTTTTTATTAAGTTCAGAGCCCCAGCCCATGGAACGGTGCTGCCCTCGCTTAAATCAGGTCCTTCCCAGCTCCTGTTACTCTAGATAATCTGTCACCCGTGTGCCTCTGTGATTCGAGAACTTGTCAATTTGACAATGTGAATTAGCCATCAGCCCAGCTGTCAGCCCGTCTGAAGCGCACCCCTCAGTGACCTGTAGTTCCTTCATAAGCTTGTAGCCAGATAACAAATGGCGAGGGTGGCCTATGAATTCTCCCTACCTCTCTGTTGGCAGGATGTCCCACCTCAATGGCCCTAGCAGCTCACAGCCAAGGCGCTCCTTCCTCTCAAGGGTGATCAGGGCAGCGCTACCCTTGCAGCTACTCCTGCTGCTGCTGCTGCTTCTGGCCTGCCTGCTGCCCGCCTCTGAAGAAGACTACAGCTGCACCCAGGCCAACAACTTTGCCCGTTCCTTCTACCCCATGCTGCGGTACACCAACGGGCCACCTCCCACCTAGAGGATTCTGCCGGCTGCAGTTCCACACCGCTAGCCTACTGGCCACAGGTGCTCAGCTCAACCTGTGAGTGACTCTTAGCCTTGACGAGATGCAGGGACCTGCTGCAGACACCTCCCTCGTCTTGAGCAAATGGACTCCAGGGGCCCACGACAACTCAGACAAGATGTCCTTCCTCTGGGCTAGAACCAAGTACACAGCAGGACCTGGCATTCAAAGCTAGCGATGGGTTCCAAGAACTCTGGAAAGGGGGGCTTCCCAAAGAGCCACGCACTTTGTAAAACACTGTATTGTAGCACAGCTGTTATACGGCCCACAGACAATGATGTTCCGTACATAAATGAACTCTATCCAAGAAGCTAGTAGGTCCCTACCTTAGTAATGGTTCGGGAAATCCAATCATGGTTGATTCAGACACATTTGAAATGTTGAGAATCAGTTTTCCTCCAGTCAGCTAGCAGTCTATGCTCCCAGTTATAAACTAAAATCTTCTGGTTCCCTACCCTGGGTCAGCTCTTTTATATTGCTTTAAAAAAAAATTTTTTTCAAAGAAATTTTATTGCATGGATGTGGTTATTTGTGCATATTTTTAACACTGCTGAATCTGTATGAATAATGTAAACTTTGATTTAGGAAAAAAGAACAGAAGATTTTTAGCTTGAGTTTTGGACTAATGTACAGGAAATGCCAAGCTCCAGACTTGATAGGGATGTTTTTATAAGTTAATTTTTTAAGACTTTTCATGTTTTGAAGAGACACTTTGGGTCTGGTTGAGCTGTTTGGCCACCAGGGGTTAGAACTATTTGTGATATGTAAAACTCAGATGTTTCTCATTAAAAAAAAAAAAAAAAAGCCGGACTGTTGTATTGGACTCTGTCAGAGGGCAGGTAGCTAGAGTCACCTGATCCCATGGACCCCACAGTCACCACATGTGGCACAGACCTGTAGGAAGGCTGACCCTGCTCTCCTTCCCCCAGGGTCCCCATTAGGACCCCCTCAAGGGCCTGTGTCTGGAGATTCTAGGCCCTAAGGGGAGCATCTATTAATGCATTAAACTGACAACTAATGAATTAACTTGTTACAGCCATAGCTGTCAACCTTCATAAGAGAAGCCTCTTTTTGCGGTACATGGTGATTCCACATGGAAAACCTCCAGCTGATCAAGGTGCAGAGAATAGGAGACGGTGGAAGACTCAGCCCTGTGCCTATATCATACCCACCCCTCCAAAGGCTCAGGGATATTGTAGAGAGGGGGTGGGGAGATTGTAAGAGCCATAAGAGGTGGATGACAAGGAAACAGTGATGTCTGGACACAGGGCCACTGCAAATACGAATTCACAACAATTAGGCAGCATATAGGTGGCTTAGAGACCCACAGTCTGTCTGGCGTGAGGTCCTTCACGTGCGTGCGTGCGTGCGTGCGTGCGGTATTCATCTTGTTGCAGTGGCGAAATACTCGCGAAAGCAAGTTAAGGCAGGCAAGTTCCTCCTAGGGAAGGCATGGCAGCAGGGGCCTGAGGAAGCAGCAGTTCACCGCCCTCCACCAGGAGGCAGAAGCAAATGCTCGTGCTCTGCTGGCTCCCCTTTTCCGTCAGCCAGGGACCCCAGCCCGTGGACTCCTGCTGCCCAGGTAAGGTGGGCCTTCCCTCCCAGGTGTGCCCAAAGAGATCTAGAGCTTGTGCAGTTGACATTAACCATCTCAGTGTGTAAATGGTCCAACCACTGGCCACCAATTGCGAGGGGAAGCATCTAAAGGTGAAAGTGGCCCAGGTTTTCCCACTCTCAGATTTCTGGAATAAATTGCATAGATAGCGTATCTCCACCCCAAGTACTTTGAATTGAGGGCATTTTTTGTATTTGGGGATATTTACATATACATAATGAGTTATCTGGAGCTAGGATTTATTTCACATACGGTGAAGCCGTACATGCTGAAGGTGATTTTATTTAATAGTTCTAGTGGTTTTGTGCATGAAATAAAGATTCCTTCCAGTTGTGATGTCATTTGAGCCCTCCAAGTTTTGGAGATTGAGAGTTTGAGGTCAATTTAGGCTATAATGAGAGCCAGTATGCAATTAAAAAAAAAAAAAGCTTTGTATCTTTAAATGAGGGAATATTCTGTCTCAGCTGGGTGTGGTACTGTACACCTTTAGTCCCAGCACTTTTGAGGCAGAGGCAGATGGATCTCTTGAGTATGAGGCTAGCCTAGTCTACATAGTAAGTTTCAGGACAGCCAGGGCTACATAGTGACAAGCAGTGAGCTATCTAATGAGACAAAGCCTCAGCGCTGTGTCCACCCCACTTCAGGTGAGTCTCAGCCTCTCTCCATCCTTGATTGAAAGCTACTCACCCAGTTCCTCACCTGCATTAGCACCTGGAGGCAAAACACTAACTAGAGGGGTCAGGCCAGAGAAGCCTATCACTGTTTCAACCTGGGACCCTTCACGTTTCAGATATCCAAGCCACCTGTTCAATTACCCAGAAGTTTGTCCTGGGGCCATTAAAAAGGGGGAAATTTTTGTTTTATCCCACCTTAACTGTGCCTGGCTTACAGTAATTTAGGGGGGGAAAAATCTAAACAACTTTTTTTTAAGCCAATGAATTGCTTCAAGGTTCCCTGCTCCATCTTAGCCTGAGGCAACTAGCAGAAAGCCTAGTTCCTTCCCCAGCTTGCCCTCCAAAGAGAGTGTCTCACAGGACTTCACTGCCCTCAGGAAGGGAGGCTGAAGTATGTCAAAGGGTTGGTTGCATTTTAAAGGCGAATAATATAGATATTTTCTTAACCTAATGACCTCTGACTTTGAGTTTGGTCCCTCTTCCCCAGTACCCCCAGAAAGCCCCTTCTGCCTCCTTCCATGCGGAGCTTGGAGTATCCCCCAAACACTTGTGTGAGGTGATTCATGTTTCATGCTCAGGCTTAAGCAAACTGCTCACTCCTTTCCTTCCCCACTTGTAGGGGAAATCTTCAGATGACCATAGGCACACATCTAACTTCAGTATCAATGACTGACCCCACCCCATCTCTGGAGGATATATTACTAGTTGACTCAGATGACAAAAATTACAGAAAATCTACTCAAATAAATAGATTCTCTGCAAACCAGGACTTTTACATCTCTACACAGTGCCTGTGGTCATGTGTAAGAAGCCATTCGGTAACAATAGGTTCAATTGTTCCTGTTTAGGCAACCTAGGGGAAGGTGGGACTAGTAGGTCTTCTGAAATGGTAGGCAAGCATCTGCACTGATGGCCCCTTCCCCAGAAGATTGACCACAGATCTCAACAATACAAACCCCAAAAGGGAATGGAACTCACAGGAGAAAATCAGACACGGCTTAACCCAGCAACTCTAAGTTCTTAAAACTCAGCTCCTAACAAAATGTCTTTAAAACCCAAATTATGAAAACCATTTTATGTCCCATTAAACCTCTTTGCAACAGTTGCATAGATATTAAAGGGACATTGCAAGGACAAAGGACTCCTAGACGAACGCGCGACAAGTCTTAAAAGCATCACATAGTATTTTTGTGTTTGTTTGTTTGTTTGGTTGGTTGGTTGGTTGGTTTTGGGGTCTCACTCTGTAGCCCAGCTTGGCCTCAGATTCATGGCAAGCCTCCCAAGTGTGAGGATTTCCAGCTAGGCATAAGACACCACACTCAAACACTCATTTCTTAACAGGCTCACAGTTTAAAGCCTGTAATCAACCTTAGTCTGATGGCACACAGCATCTGTCTGGGGAAAAAAAAATGACCTAGTCAAGCAGCAGGCTCAGACACATGACCACTGCCTCATAAAGTCATAAAGGGCCAGGGCTCCCAGGAAAACAAATGACCACCACAGTGCAGTGACTGGGAACTGTTTGGAGCTAGTAAACCTTTGCCCGCCACAAAGAAGAAGGCCACCATCAAGGAACTGGCTGGCCTACAAGTGAAGATGATCCCTGGAATTTTTAGAATCACGTCACAGAGACGGTGCACAATGTATAGCTGCAGCTCCAGGAAGTTTGAAAGCTACAGGGGAAAACGGGCATGAAGTGTGTGCGTGCGTGCATGCGTACATGGGTGCTGTTAGCAGTTTTGTTTCTTAAATGGTCAAAACTCCCTCTCTTATCTGACTTGTGTTCTCACCCTTGGGGATTATTTTTGGAGTTAATCTCTACTCCCACTAACAAGCAGGATGAACAGGGGCATAAAAAGAGGGGCATTTATAAGGAATCACCGTGTGGCTCTCCTGTGGACAATCCTGCCCGCACCAGCCCTCTTTAGATCACACCCAGGAATCTGTGAGAATCCTCTAGCATTAGAAAATAACAATACCTGTATTAAGGGTATTTCATGGTGACCATTTCTAATTTAAGCTTGTGATTTCAGAGTGAGGCAAAGCCTACTTAGCTATAAGTTTCTGGGGTGATTGCTTGCTGATTAAAACAGAAGAATCCTGCCATACCAGTTCAAGGCAGAACCGAATATGGCTGCTCTCTGTAATATGTCAGTTGTGGGTTTTGGGTTTTTTGGGGGGAGGGGATGTCAGTTGTTTTTTGGGGGTTCTTGGCAGGGGTTCAGTAATCTAATCCACAGATAGGTGCCAGGTCCTATTCGTCCTTTAAAAAAAGTTTTGTTGAGACTTGTGCTGCTATGAGAGAATTCATACTGTCCCAAAGGAATGTGAAGGTTTCAAGGAAGCCATCATGAATCAAAGAGAAAATGACCCATCTCCAAAATGGACCTTGAGCATTTCCCCAATACACTGAAACTGTGTCATCCTTAGACAACATGTCTGGAACAGATGGCCGGAGATATTAGCACCTCAGCTGAAAGGGAGAATAGGACCCTAGGGTGCTCAGAAACAACAAATGCTCTTCAGAGTACAGATCACATTTCAACCACCCACTTGTCCCAGAGCCGAGCCAAAAACAGCCCAGTGCTGGGAAGTCTCAGGCAGGGCTAACCTGTGTCCCTTCCAGACCCAGGTGAGATGCAAGTCAGTAGAAATGACTTAGAGGGTTGCATCCTCCTCCCACTGAACCAAACACAGTAGAATGAGCAGACCCTAGAAGCGGTAGGAGAACTGGGGACAGTGGTACCTGTCCGAGATCCCCACAGGCTGTCGCAGAAGGATTAAGAATTCATGGCTAACTAGCAGCCACTGGAGCGTATACTTAATCTAAGTACACACAGAACTTTGCACACAAGGCCGCTTGACCACCTGAGTTCAAACTGATCCCTTCCTTGGGTATCTAAATACAACCAAGAACTTTACTGTGTACCAAGGAGACAATAGCTTGGAGCTCGTTCTGATTTTTGTTTTTCTTGTCTGGCAGATGCTTGAAAAAACAAAATTTTACTGGCAGGTTTTTCAAGGCTGCCTTTGCCTCCCACTTCCTGCCCTTCAACCCCTGACCCTTTGTCTGGGGGGGGGGGGCTTTCTGCACCGAGGCTCTTGGCTATAGCACTGAACTGCTACTACTCTCTAGCTGCCTCAAAACATCCCTCCACACATCTGTGTGCTCCCTACGCCCGCGTCCCAGTGTGTGTGTGTGTGTGACAGCTGCTAAAGTCAGCGTTAGCAACAGCACACCGATACCAAAATTAAGACACATTCAAGTTCTCTCTTGTTAGGTGTAATCTTCCTAATGAATGACTCAGTAAACACAGGGTGTACTGACCAAAGAAGCCCTATTTTCAAAGGAAAGTATATTGAATACTGTATCATCACCGGGTTTTACTTTTTAAAACACCCAATCGGCACGATCGTTTAATTGCTTACTTCCAAAGTAGAGCTGTTACACATTTTGTGAATTTGCCATGTTCCTAAAAACGTGTCTGAAAACTCCAGTTTCTAAAACGTGAGTTTCGGTTGCCATTTCAGAAGGGCTTTCTCCTTAGCCCCCATTACATCCCATTTGAACAAGAGCTAATGAGTTTACGACATTTCTACTTCACACAACCCCCTGTTCTGGTAAGAAAATATTTTAAGCTGGACGGTGATGGCACACGCCTTTAATCCCAACACTTGGGAGACAGACGCAGGCGGATCTCTGTGAGTTCGAGGACAGCCTGGCCTACAGAGTAAGTTCCAGGACAACCAGGACTACACACAGAGTAACCCTGTCTCAAAAAAAAAAAAAAAAAGAAAAGAAAAGAAAAGAAAAGAAAGAAAATATTGAGACATATAGGTCAGAGAAGTTTTTCTTCTTGCCACAATTACCACTAAATATTTTTCTTTTTGAAGGAGTTAAAAAAAAAAAAAAAGATGTGTTCAAGTTCTTTGCTTATCCACGCCACACTATATAGCAGAGAGAAAGAGAAAGAGAGAGAGTATTCCTTCCAGAGGCTACGCATCATATGCATCTACAGCCTGTAGCATGGGTAGGTGATGCTGCTCCTCTGCTGTGCATTCACAAGGCCTAAAAGAAGTAGTGCACTATGGCTCACGATGGATAAACTCCATTCTTGCAAATATGGGGCCTTTCACACACATACACGCACACACACAAGAGGTGGGGAGAAAAAGAGAGAGAGGGGGGAAAAAAAACACCAACATAGCTTCAAGGAAACCCAGGTATAAAGAGATTTAAATCTTAATCCATGGCAGGTGCACACTCAACAGGCCAAATAAGCAGGCTCTACAAATGTAAACCAAGAAGGACAAATCTACACAGGGATAGCAAGAGGACCTGGGAGGAGGAAGGCGCTCACATCTGAGTTCCACCATTATCCCTCTGGTCTTCAATAGAATTACATGTTACAATGTTACCAGTTACATGTCGTCAGTCCTCACAAGCCTGTGAGGTAGGAATGTGAAACGAGTTGATTGTCAATCAAGTGGACCAGAAGACACCATTCAAAGGCTGATTTTACAGCCACACGATTAATTCTATATAGTCCATGTCTTATAGAACAGTGGTTCTCAACCTGTGGGTCATGGCCCCTCTGGGGGTCGCATACCAGATATTTACATTATAATTCATAACAGTAGCAAAATTATAGTTATGGAGTAACAACAATGAAAATAATGTTATGGCTGGGGGTCAGCACAACATGAGGAACTGTATTAAAGGGTCCCAGTGCTAGGAAGGGTGACCGAGGGTCACACTCTCTTCCCATCTATTCCCATCTAATGCCAACCCTTCCAAGTCAGGCTTTCGCCATTCATCCCATAAGCTTTAAGATGCTTTCCAAGTGGGCAGAGGAGATGGAAGGATGTGAGAAGGACCACATCTAGAACCTTCTAAGGTTATACAAAAGTTAGAACTCTGCATTCAGAGGTACCCCCTGGTACAAGAACACTGCAGTCCACCCACCCAGACCCCTGGGACGTGGAATGTAGGGGAAGGGTACATGACCAAGAGGAGCCGTGAGAGTGCACTGGTCTACCTTTGACCATCTCTGCAGACTGTCCGCCACAGGCCCGGCCATCACTGAGACTGCGGGTTCTGGGGACCCTCTTTGCTCTTACTGTCCTCTGCTGAGCTGCAGTCAGACCCCGAGAGCGAGGACTTGTACCCTCGAAGTGTGTGAGCATTCAGCATCTCCAGCAGCAGGTCATACACTGGGACCACATTTTTGCACTTCATGCTGAGCAGGTGTTCCATGCCCTTGTTACTATGGGAGAGAGAGGCACTGAGAATCCTTCCCTCCGGGTAGCCATGGGGATGTTGAAACAGTCCAAGTCGGCACAAAGCCAGCCCACCCCTCCACATACACATTCCCTGTACTTCTACCCCATCGTTCTGTTGCTCACACGTCCAGCGCCCTCTACAGTCTACACTCAAAGGCAAAAGTGGTACCCATTTGACCTCCATCTCACCACCCAATGCTGCACCATGGGCTCGTTCATAAAAAGCAAGAAAACAAACAGTGTCACTAACTCTAAGTAGGCTTCTTCACCCTGGGAGAGCAGAAGCACCTATCTCCTTGACTGACCCAGACTGGAACGTACATATCATATCAAGACACTGACAACTGTTGCTCTTCTTGGCTTGACCTTGAAAGGGTCCTGTGTACCGATTTGGGGGTTATGAACAAACTTCAGCAATTAGAGGTGCTCATTCGTAAGTGAGGGTAGACTAATACCTGTTCTGCAAAGGGTCACGGCCTGAGCCCTTAGTAAAGAAACAGGAAGGAATCCTTTCCTCCTCCACGTTAAATAAAGTGGACACTGTCCTTCCCCACAGCTCTTATGGTTTCCTACTCAGGCAAGCACGGCCTTCCTTGTCATCTCCTCTCTTCCAGGCTCGGGACAGAGCTACCCTTCTGAGCAACGCCACCCACAGGGCATCCCTAGCCATCCCAGCCCATCTTCTCCCTCAGTGCACCTCCTGGCCTGGACTGTGCTCCACCCCCAGCCTTGCTTCCTCAACCTGTTGGGATCGAAGTTCTCTTAGATCTCGTCCCAGGTATCCTGATGCCATGGAAGCAAAGGGACAACTTGGCGCACACCCCCAGTCCTCAGCTGAAGTGTGACCAGGAGAGCCAGACTTAACATCCTTAGAGAAATGACCCCAGGTCTTGGCCCTGGGTGGTGTTAGGAAGGTGGCAATTCATTTTAGAGGGAGAGCTGCCCATTTTGGGACCCTATAAACAAATTCTAAACCCTAGCAACTACATCCAGGCGGGTCCCACCAGATGCCCCCAAAAATCCTATCAGGCACCATGTGAGACTCATTTCAACACCCATGATGCGCCAACCTTTGGTGTAGGTGTGTGCACTGGTGAATTCTTAGTCAAAAGTTTATTCTTCTTTAAAGTCGAACGTTCTACCATATCCACTGCAAACTTGCCTGCATTCTCCCAAAGTTCTGAGCGCATGCCCGGCCCCCAGCCCCCAGAACAGCTTCCCGCGGTTTATACCTGATGTGTCTGACATGAGAGAGAAGCATTAGGAGGTTGGCCAGGCGAACCGACTGCTGCTGGGAGGAAATGCCACTCTTAGCAATCACCCAGACAAGGGCATCTGTCACTGCGTTCAATAGATGTGTCAGCTTCCGGCTGCTCTCCGCCTCCTGGCTTGCTGTAGTTAAGGGGTACATGCCTGGACAAAGAAAGAGAGCCCCAAAGTCAGAGAAAGGGAAGCCGAGGTCATGTGCTCAACTGTTAAGGATGCCTGGTTCCCCAGGGAGGCAGCAATGTGGGCCAGAGATGCTCTGACTTGCACAGGCACATGCATGGCACACCCTATGTCCCCCAAGGTTCTTCCCCTGAGAGCAAAACCTTATCGGTGTGCTGTAGGGAATCCTGACTGGACACGGGGCAGGCCAGGTGAGCTCTGTGGCCTCACCAAAGCAGTAGGCACTTCAAGGAATTGTGTTGCGCACCTGCAGCAAATGGCTACATGAAGACGGTCAGGGGTCAGGTGAGATCAATTGTTGAAGGAGCTGTCAATCAATATAATTATATAGTTTATCACATGCTTTTAATCACAGCACTCAGGAGGCAGAGACAGGCAGATCTTTGTGAGTTAGAGGCCAGCCTGGTTACAGAGCTAGTTCCAGGACAGCCAGAGCTATTACACAGAGAAACCCTGCATTGTGTAAAAAAAAAAAAAATAAAATAAAATAAAAATAAAATAAAATAAAATAATAATAATATAAGCTAATTCTTTACTTCCTTTGAGAATGGTGGTTTACAATAACTAGGTACAGTCTCAAGAAACCAAGGGCTGGGTGATGGTGGCACATGCCTTTAATCTCAGCAGTTTGAGGCTATCCTGGTTTACAGAGTAAGTTCCAGGACAGCCAGGGCAACACACAGAAACCCTGTCTTGAAAAACCAAAAGAAAAGAAACCAAGGGCGACCAAGCATGGTGGCACACACCATTAATTGTATCCCTCGTGGTTGGCCTTCAGTTGCTATGATAAACCACTGACCAAAACCAGCTTAGGGGAGTAAAGGGTATACCTCACCTTACAGGTTACAGTCTGTGACCAAGGAAAGTACGGGCAGGAAAATGGAGGCAGGAGCTGAAGCAGAAGCCACGGAGAAGTACTGCCTACTGACTTGCTCAGCCTGATTCTTACGCAGCTCACATGCTCCTGCAGCTCACGCAGCTCAGGACCACCTGCCTAGGGGTGGCACCACCCGCAGTGGGCTGGGTCTTCCCACATCAATCATTAATCAAAACAACGCCCCACACTTGTCAACAGGTCAGTCTGATGGTGTCAGTTCTCAGTTGAGACTCCTTCCCAGGTGACTCTCACTGGTATAACTTAAGAGGCAGAGGCAATCAGATCTCATTGAGTTCCAAGCCAACCACAACACCGTGGTGAGATTCTGAGGCCGGAGTTCCGTGCACCCGCTTGCCTAGCCCCCACAAGGCTCTAATGACTCAGCAAATAAATTAACCCTCCAGTGGCCCTGGAGCTGCTGCAGGGAAACCCTGTTCACTCCCTCCACACCTCAGACCCTCACCACTACCTGCCCCTCCCCCCCCCCCAGGCCGCTCATTCATTCTCCTTGGCAGCCACCCCTCCTCCCCTCATCAAGGCCAACACAGCCCTTTGAGGGCACAGACCCTGCATACCTGTGACCCTGCCCCCATCACCTCCTACATCGCCCGACACAGAGGACGTGTGTATGTATAGAGATAACTATACAGGATTCACATAGGCTCATATTTTTGTATAGTCTTAGCCAGTCACATGATTGTAACGGAAATAGTTATGTCTATTTTAAGTACATACAGAGAAGAGCATTCTTAAAAGTGTAGAGGATTTTGAGCTGCACATGGTGGTTGCACACCTTTGATCCCAGTACTCAGGAGGCAGAGGCAGGTGGAACTCGGAGTTGGAGGCTAGCCCCGACTACATAGCAAGCTTCAGGACATCCAGGGATACACAGAGAGATCCTATCCATTATGCTGATGAGATAAGCCAGTCACAAAATATCACACTTGTTCGGCACAGAGTAGGGCCCATGAGGTTGGCTTCAAATTTCCTACAAAGCTGAAAATGATCTTGAGCTTCTGATCCTCCTGCTACCCCCTCTGGGTGCCTCGAGATGACAGGCATACACCATCAATTATTGAGCAACTGCCCCAACTTAGAGCCCCTTTTCTCGTTCCACTATTTGAAGCTGGATATAGAACACACACGTCCATACAGACAAAACGGACTGGCGGCTACCCTTCAGAGAAGGAAGGGTGGATGCTATAGTAAACTATCGACTTGACTGGATGAAGAAACCTAGAGGACTTAACCAGAAAGGATTAACTGAGGAGGAAGACATGCCCGGAGGGTGGGCAGCAGCATGGCATGGACTGCAGTCCCACCAGCTGAGCATCAGAGTTCCCCATCTGCTTCCTGGACCACGAGTGTGTAAGCCAGCAGCTCCCACAGCTATGGACAGAAGCTGACCCAAGGCTAACTTTTCCATCATCTTTCCTCCCTTAGCTGCTTCTTATAGGGTACGTAGTAGCATCAATAACAAAGGTAACTTATGCAGCAGCAAGTGGATTTCCTGGCAGTGGGGGTTAAAATGTTTGAATATTGATTTTGGCAATGACACAGAGCGAACATACTAACAAAAACTGAATCGTATACTTTTGTTTCAGGACAAGATCTTGCCATGTAGCCCAGGCTGGCCTAGAACTTCCTATACATTCCAGCCTGACCTCGAACTCATAGTTCTCCATAGTACTGGGATTAGACCACCACACACAGCTTGAATCATAGTCTTTAAATGGGTGAACTGGAGTGCCATTAAAATAGCCTTCAGAACCCAAATCACAGTAGCATAAATGCCCACTGGCAGTGTGTGGCTCCCTTCAAAGAGCATGGCTGGTAGTCAGTCATCCTTGTTCATGAGGCAGCCTCATTACCAAGGGCAGACCATGGGTCTCCCACAAGTTTGGAGGTAGTACAGTTCCATACGGAGTCTGGAGCCCACTGTGATCAATTCGTTTGGGAAGAGGAGACACCACATTTAAACAGGCACCTGCCTTGTCAAGTTTTTAGAAGGAGAAGTGTTTATATGAAAAGTCTTAAACTTAAAACCATCCCAGGACACCGGTTTAACGTACCCGTCTCTCTAGTCGGAAACACAACACCCATACTTTGGACATCCACATCCCTGCTCACTGACATAGCACAAGGGGACACACTAACTGCTAAGTGGCAGGCCTTGGACAGGGCCAAGGGACAAGACAGAAGCCCTGCCAACCAGATACACAGGAAGCAAATAGAAAAATGAACCCCCCTCCATCCCTAAAGATAGAAACTCTATGATTTATTGTAAAACAAAACAAAATTGCTTTTCATAAGGCTAAAGAGATCTAGTAAAGAAGGGAGGGAGGGAGAGGGCTTTTGGCGCAATATCCCACACATCCCAAAGAAAGCAACTCAAGGTCACCCAAATCCCAGCCATTTCCTGGAAACATCTGTGTGTTCCTCCCTCTGGCCCACCAGACATTCTGGAAGCACGAATGCCAAGAATTGTGGAATACTACGTGCTCTAAGGTGAAGACCCAGGCTTTGCTCAGTAGGAGGGAAATAACTCAGAAAATCTGGAGTGTTTTACTTAAAAATCCGAGAAAATAATCATGGAAAAATTGTTTTCTGGCTTTGAAGGGTGAAAGGGAATGTGCGTGCTGTTCTAAAGCAAAATAGAATGGTGGCCTGGGTTTAACCTGCTAAGTATTTCAATTAATAAAATGTTTTGTTCTTTCAAAAATTGTTTAAATAGGGGCTGGAGAGATGGCTCAGTGGTTAAGAGCATTGTCTGCTCTTCCAAAGTCCTGAGTTCAATTCCCAGCAACCACATGGTGGTTCACAACCATCTGTAATGAGGTCTGGTGCCTTCTTCTGGCCTGCGGGCATACACAGAACATTGTATACATAATAAATATTTAAAAAATTGTTTAAATGAGTAGATTTGTTTCTAATTTGTTTGACACACTGTGTAATCCAGGCTGGCCTGAAGAGAGGAGAACCTTGAACTCCTCCTGATCCTCCTGCTGCCACCTCCCAAGTACTGGGATTGCAGGCAAGCACCTCCATACCCAGTTCCCTGTCCCTAATTTAGGTTATTTGATTGATTGATTATTGATTGATTGTGGTTAGGTTATTTTAAAAAGACCAATGGTAATTAACTTCACGTTTATTCCACTCTGACTCCTAGATCAGAACGCAATTCTAAGGGAAGGTGGCTATAGTTTCAGAGATTCAGGTGACAAGGTTTTCACCTTGTTTATCATATGTTGTTGCTCTCTCTCTCTCTCTCTCTCTCTCTCTCTCTCTCATTTATCTATTTATTTTGGTTTTATGAGACAGGGTTTCTCTGTGTAACTTTGGAGCATGTCCTGGGACTCACTCTGTAGACCAGGCTGCCCCTGAACTCAGAGATCCACCTGCCTCTGCCTCCCTAGTGCTGGGATTAAAGACATTGCTGCTACCACCACCCGGCTGCAGCAAGTTCTCTTAATGGTTGACCCAATTTATCAGCCCCTATTTCTCTGTCTCTTGACTGGGATCTGAAAAGAGAAGTATGCTGTCATCTTTACCTTTGTTCCTTTGTATATAAAGTCACGCCGTCCCCTCCCCCAGCAGCTTTTTACCATTTTTCTGCTCTGGGTGTGGTGGTAGATGTCTGAATATTCCCAGTTACTCCCAACAATGGCACAGGCAGCTGACTTGGGATTCTAGGCAATAGAGCCAGGCAGAAGAAGAAAACCTAGGCATGCTGGCACCCTGTTCAGGAAGCTGAGGCAGGAGAATCATGAGCTTGAGGACTGCTTGAACTACATAGCAACACCCAGTTTCAAAAAAAGAAAAGGAGAAGAACGAAGAGTGGCTTGTCTCCTTCCTGCTGGCTTTGAGCACTTTGATGACGATCTGTCTTGCTGTGGCTTCCCACACGCTTCTCGTGCAGGGGCTTAAGAAAGTATCGTCGAAGCCGTGTTTACAGTTTTCAAGACATCTAGAACATTCTCAACCATGTTTCAACCGCTGTGTCCCCACGTCTGCTGACTTCCCTTCTACGCAGCTTCCCTTCTCCAAGGCCGTCTGGGGCCCATACAGAAATTCTGTGCCCTGCCTTGCCTTTTCACACTTCCCATAGGAAATCCAGGCACTGTTTTCACGTCTCCAGAGAGTCTCTTTCATGTATTTCATTCTGTCACCTTTCTGAGTGTTTTTTTCTCCCGTTGGAGACCATATTTTCGTCTTTGCATGCTTCCTAATTTTCAATGAGTTATTTTGAGTATTGTGAACTTACCTTTGGGTTCTGGCTAGCATTACATTCTTTGTGTTGTCATTGCCTTCCCCCGCCCCTTGTATGTGAGTATTCTCATAGGTGGGGGGTGGAGTGGTGGGGGTAGAGGGGATGAAGGGGTGGTCAAAGTCATGGTCTCTCATGGTCTCGCATACTAGGCGAGCAATCTTCCAATTGAGCTACATCCCCAGGCCCCTGTAGTCAGTACTGAAGACTGACTTACTTTGCCCATAAGCAGGTGAGAATGCCTTCAACTATTCTTAAGCTTTGTGCTAGATTGTAGCTAAATTATTTCACGATATTTTGACAATCTGGGCTTGCTTTTATGTTTTATTTGGTAGTCTGTACCCCGGGGCTAACTTTACCCCGTTACTGTGGCGACAGCCTCCTCAGTGTTTTCTTATCCCAATGTCCAGGATGTTACAAGTTTTCCCAAGCGCCTAGAGAGAATGTGAGCCGCTCCTTAGCCAGTGAGAACTTCAGAGACCATTTCCCCTCGCGCTGTGCCTCAAAACATTAGCAGGTTAGCTAGCACTCAGCCAAAGCCTTAAAGAGCGCCACCTGCAGACGGGAGATGCTGCCTGCAGCCCTGTTCCTCCCGCACCCCTCTTCCAACAACGAACCCTTGGCTGTTCAGATTGTTTCAGTGGAGGACACCAACTGATGTTCACCAACTTAGTCCTTGCTTTGGTTTTTGTTTTATTTTTAAATTAATTGCTGCAAATAACCAGAAAAAGAGGTGCTCTTGAAAACCCTTCAGAGCTAGCCACCTCTTTCAATAGTAGAACATTTCCATAAGAAAAACCAAAAAAGAAAAGAAAAAAAAGAAGTAAAAAAGAAAGCAAATTCCAATTTCCCACAGCAATGTCAAACAGAATAAATTTGCTGTGACTACCAAGTAAGCAATAAGGTTCAGTAAAGATTTTCAAAAATTTGGATTTACCTTAAATTTTAATGATTTTTCTGCCCAAAGTGGCAATTACATCCCACAACCCTCCTCGCCTCCTACAAGGGCAGCTTTATCAGATGCCGCAGGAAGAAGGCCAGAGCTGCCTTGCCCATCCACATACATAGAGGCTGCTCACAGCTCTGAGGATACAATCTGACATCTAGAAGATGCCAAGCCAAACAGCAGGCTCCTTACCTGCTGCTTACCTACGTGTCCTAACAACAAACAAATCGCTTTCTGAGGAGCACATAGTGGCTCTGAAAGGGTTCTAAATCCTTCAGACTCCTCCTTCAGCCCTCCCCACCCTTCCCCTTCAAGACCTAGCCCACTCTCCACTCTAGATTCTAGAACCCACCACTGACGGCGTGCTGTGCTCTCCCTGAGCTACTGTCTGAATGTTCTCCCAGTCCACAGAGAGGACGCCATGGAAGTACCAGCCCTTGAGAGCTCTGACAGCCACAGACAAATTTAAAAATCATTCAAGCGTGTTAATCACATAAGCCAGGACTCATATTTTGCACTTTTCATCGTAATTTTCTGTTATTATGCCGAGCTGGGGCCAAGGGGAGCTGAGAGTGATAGCAAGCACACTCAACTTACCTAGCGTGGGCAAAGCTCTGGGTTTGATCGTCAGTTTCAAAAAACTGTTTTAAAAAGCCCTACACGTTCACATCTTGTCATTATTCTCTAAATACAGCATAACCACCATGTACATGCGTGTGCATTGGGTCAGGTGATCTAAGTATCCCAGGGATGATGTCAAGTATGAGAAGCTACACACGGGGTGTAGGTGGCTACTACTCCATTTAATATAAGAGATGATGGCACCCACTGATTTCCTATTAGAGTCAAACACAAAGGATACTGGAGAGGGAGGAGACAGAAGGAACAGGGGGTACTGTTTCCTAGGTCTTGGAGAGAGGAGGATCCTGCTGATTATTCTTATCTTCCTTGTATGGTTTTCTTCCATCTAAATGTTGTCCCTGATCACCAGATATTGTTTATATAAGAAAAACTAGGAGAGCCAAAACATCCACTCAGCTCAGACACTGTCCTCATCCCCCATCTCCGAAGTCAAGTCCCTCCTCTTTTCCCTCCCACATGGTCTGTTTGGGCTCACTTTATCTGAGGACACCCTTGCCTCCGACTCTCTCCATTTTAGTCATTCCTCCCTATGGGGGGTGGGTATGACCTTCCCATAATACACTTCTGCACACAGACACTCCCCCAGAGTTGCCTGTGACCACTTGAAGTTCTTCTCTGAAGACCCCAGTGTCCTTCTGCGGCCTCTCCCACTTCTCCGCACCTCCACTCTGTCGATCTGTGAACCTCAGTCCAGCACCAAGATCATGACATTTCATAATTTGCTTTCTGTTTCTCCCAATACCAAGCTATTCGACCATAACCTAGATGTTGGTACTGAACAAATGAATGGTTTGTAAAAGTAGAAGCTGAAACATTAAATACAGATGATATGTGTTAGCCATGTGAAATACCTGTGTCTGGCTAAAGAAAGACTGGAGAGTAAATACTTTTAAATTATTCTTTTTGTTTGCTTGTTTTTGTTTTTCGAGACAGGGTTTGAGTAGTCCTGGCTGCCCTGGAACTCATTCTGTAGACCCGGCTGTCCTCAAACTCAGAGACGGCCTGCCTCTCTCTGCCTCCCCAGGGCTGGGATTAAAAGCATGCACCACCACATCCAGCTTCTGAGCCGCTTTTCAAATCCATTGCTCATCCAATAAATAATTTATATGCAAGTTAGCAAACATTAACTACAGTTAAATCCAGGTAAAACGGAGAAGTCAGAAGTGAGGCCGTTCTCCACTTTCTAAATCAAACAAAAGTTCGGCACTCTTGACCGCCACACCGGATGGACAGTCTTTCTTCCCTAGCCATACAAGGCACAGGCGCGCGGTTACTCACTCGAATTGAGGAGGATCATGGCCTTCACGCACAGATACTCTTTGTGCTGGAGTTTCAACTCACGGAACCTCGATGTCGTCGCCAGGAGCATGTCAAAGATTTCCAGAATCCCTTCTACGCACTTCCCCTCATCCCTGCAAGAGTTCATTTGGGGATTGAAGGAACACACAGCATTAGAGGGCCATCAAGAGATGACACCTTAGGCGTCATCCTGCACATCCCATGACTATACCGAGGTATTAGGAAGAGCATACTTAACAAGGGGAAGTCACTAGTACTGAGTCCATATAGGAAAACAAGGGATGCATGGGTATAGGCTCATTGGTGGGACCCTTGCCTAGCTCTCAGGAGGCTGTGGGGTGAATCCTGAGCATTGAAGAGGGGAACACACAACACACTTCCTAAAAATTCTTAAACAGTTTTTCAGGCCAAAGTGTGCACCAGGGCTGCCTGTTTCCTTCTACTTCATTGCAGAAGGACTTCTTGGAGACACCATCACGAGCCTTTGGCTTACATACAAATCATGGTAGTCAACCAGCCTTGCTGGAAGTGACTCGGTGTATTAAAAGTGAGATCCCACACTCTCCTCAGGAAGTACCAGTGAGGGGGTCTGTTAGAGCCAAACATTTCAAGAAAAAGAGACGTTCATGTCTTCACACATAGAGGGCTGAACTTAGACGCTAGTCTAGAAGCCAAGAGACTTGGAAGTAGCATTTGAAGAAAGGAAGTGTGACAGAGAAATTACAGCTGAAGGTGGCTTAGTCAGGGAGGAAACAGACATGGGGGCAGGTGACACTTTCTTACTTTGACTTCCTGAAGTGGGCTTTTTGTTTATTTAGGTTTGGGGTTTTTGTTTTGTTTTATTGAGATAGGGTCTTGCCATGTAGCCTAGGCTGCCCAGCTCCTGGTCTCCCTACCTCCACCTCTGACATACTGAAATTACAGATATGGGCCATGACACCCAGCCTGAAGATGGTTTTTAAACAAAGGTTTCAGATAAACCCTTTAAGGATGCCTTATAGGCATGAGCTGTTGCGTCTGTCTTTGAAATAAATGATTACACATGAACGAGAAAGCATCATTTTCTATTTGCACCAGCTAGACACACATTATCCCACCCTATTGTTCTCAACACTGTCTGTTCTCTCCAGCTGCAGAGTTACTAGGGCTTTGACTAACAATTAGATGATTTTGTACAAAGTCCTTCCAGTTCCTGAATGCAGCCCACGGCAAAGGGGATCGTGGCAGAAACGGGTGCCTGTGGGGTCTGCTTTTACTCTCTAGACTATGAAGGGAGGTCGAAGTAAAGCAGCAAAAACAAACAAAAACCTGACTGTGCACTGTCTGCTCTCATCCCCAAACCAGGTCATGTCCAGTGGATGTGGCATTTTATGAGATAACATCTGTAGAGGTCCTGTGAACTGACACCCCTGGATGCTACCAATCTGGCCTGCTAGGTATTTGACAGCAACTCATCAGGATCCTGCATCCCACATCATTCATACACACACAGCGACACACACACACACAGCCACAAGCATGCAACGGCTCACTTTGGCAGGTCAGCATGGGAACTTCTGAAAACAGCTGCATCTTCCTGCCAGTGAGGAGCTAAGGGACAAATCACCGGTGTCCCCTAGAACTAATTCACAGGTAAAAACCATCTGGGAGAACAAGAGCCCTGGGCAAAGAGGACCAAAATCTACACAAACCCTGCTACTCCATGTGCCCCATCTTCATACTTCCCCCTAACCTCCTCCTCAGCTCTGAGTTCCTATAAGGGTGGCAGGAGCCCTGAACACAGTGAGTGGAAAGGAAGTACCTGCACATGGAATGCCCCTTGTGCCTGTCACCCCACTCTGCCTCTTGAACGGTCACTGCTCGGAATCATAAGTACTGAGCTTCCAGGTATTTGATAGCTGAAAAGCTCATCTGCATACATCACAAAAGAGGAAACGAACAGACACTAACACCTGCACTGATGCTTTCATTTTGTTTTGGCTATTTTGCCATTTTTGAGACAGAGTCTAATTTGTAGCCCAGGCTAGCTTCAATCTTGTGACTCTCCTGTCTCTGCCTTCCCAGAACTAGTAGGTGTGTGGGGGCTACCATGCCCAACTGTGAATTGATGGTTTAATAGTTTGACTCTTTATTCTTCTGTAAAATTCAAACTCAAGTGAAGTTATGTTCAGTTATGTAACATATGCTTGTGTGCACGCACGCGCTCTCTCTCTCTCTCTCTCTCTCTCTCTCTCTCTCTCTGTCTCTGTTTCTCTCCCTCCCTCCCTTTTACTCACCCAAAGGATAAATCAATTCAGCTGAAATCAATCCTATTTTCTAGAAGTTGCCACCCATAGAAAAGAAAAGGCACTAAATATCAGGATTAATACCCATTTCCACAAGTGAAAACATTCCGTTGCAATAAAATTAATGCTTCAAATCTACGTTGTTTAGGTATTGGGGCATCTGAAGCCCAATATACATTGCAACTTCAAGTAATCCACACATGTACCTTATAGAAAATGTTCCAGTCTAAGCAATCTAAAGAACCAGGCCTGGCTTTTTTCCTTCTAGCAGGTGAGACAAGCAACCATCGCATCTCATGTAGGTTTCAAGTACTTTCGATGACATCATAGGCTATAGAATCTACATACATTTTTAGAAAATAAACGAGCCGTGTAGGGACATAAAGTGCACCTCCCAAGTGGCTCTGAATAACGCCCTGCTTCGAAATGAGTCATGCCAAATAAAGTGAGGAAGGACGGCTACAAACTGATGAGCAGATCCATGCCATTCATCTCACAGTGAGGGACTGGAACCGAGTTAGCAGTAAGAAGGCAGGGGCAGGGATGGAGAGATTAAAGATAGAGGCATGATTGGAATGTTAGCAAGTGACTCGTCAGTCAGTCAGCCAGCCTACCTAGAGAAGTACACTTCAAGCTAGCGTCAACTAAAGATTAAATTAGCAATCACATTACTTAATTGCTTTTTCATAAAAGAAAAATAACCGTTTGATACAATGGCAAAATACTGAGTGGGCTTGTCTTGCTTTGCCATTGCCTATTTTCCGCCTGCATCTTTATTCGCTGGGTTTCACACCAGTTTATCTCTGTAGGTGTGGCAACTGGACAAGGGTAAGAGCCTAGTTGATGGCTAAGCACATGGGAGAGACTTCATAAATATTAAACCAAAATGAAATTACTTGGCTACAAAGGGTAAATTAAAATTTGGGAGTAAAAGTCTATGATCTTCAAGAACATTCAGCTTATCAATGCTGAGTATGAATGCAGCCCCTAAGAACATTCATAGCCATAGGCGCCGAAGAGGCCTGTCGGGGTTCAGGGTGGGCTCCCAGCCCAGCTCCAATGTCCCGTGATAGCTCTGAAGACAGTTTCCTGGTGATGCTGGCACAAAAAAATACCAGTATGCACTGCTCATTTAAATTACATTGGATCTGAATGTCTGTGTATGTCTATCTGTGCATGTGTATATGTGTCTGTTTGCCTGTGTGTATGCATGTGTATATCTGTTTGTATGTATATATGCCTTGTATGTCTCTGTGCGTATGGGTATGTGTGTATGTCTGTCACTATGAATGTATGTATGTGTATGTCTGTGTGTATGTGTATGTCTGTCTGTAAGTATGTGTATATCTGTGTGTATGTGTGTGTATATGTGTATATGTCTGTGTGTATATGTGTATATGTCTGTAAGTATGCGTGCATGTGTATGTATGTGTGCATGTGTATGTCTGTGTCTGTGTGTTTGTATGTGTGTGTATGTGCATGTGTACATGTGTGTGTTACAGTTAAAGGTAAAATAGTTTTGTAGAGTTAGTGTTCACCTTTCACCACACGGGTCTGAGGGATCAAACTCAGGCTATCAGTCTTGATGGAAAGTTCCTCTACCCAGTGACCCATCCTGCCAGCCACATATAGATTTTTCAGCAAATAGAAGCTCTGGTTCCATACTAGAGCTTCACATGAATTTATGTTTCTGATGGATGCCCAAAGAACTACCTTGTTACGAGCAAGCCCAAATCACTGGGTTTTCCCTTCAGCCTCAGTACACTCGTGGTTTCTGTTTCGTTTTGTTTTCTATAGAAATCTCGATGAGAGCAAATGGGCACAGGTAAGGGGATTAACTCAGTGGTAAGGGTCTGCTTAGCAAGCAAAAGGCTCTTGGTCTTGTGCCCAGCACCAAAAATAAACAAAAAAACAAAAGCACAACAATAAAAAAAATGTTTAGTGCTTGCATTCATGTGAAACCCCCGTGAAGACGCTCTGGCACACTGGGCGGTGGTGGCGCACCCACACTGAGGAAGAGGAAGGCTAAATTTACCCCCGTACATGTTCTCCAGCTACTGACTTGCTTACTGAAACACGAGATTTGGCCTCCCCCTCGAAACTGAAACCAAAAGTAAAATCATTTTAACTCCACTACACGTCGATGGGTAGAACAGCTAACATAGCAGGATTACATGTTTAAATGTGTGTGTTTGTGAGGCAGAGTGAATGGATGAGACAATGGCCAGGCTGGGCATCTGACCTTTCGGCTTGACTGACAACCCTGAGGTGACAGGAGGAGTGGATTGAAATAGGATAGGTCACAGGGCTGATGGGCAGAAATAGAACAGATCCTAAGGCTGTGTTCTAAGGCAAAACAACAAATTATGAATCAATTTGCTTTTGGCCTTCTCTTTCCGTTTCTGAGTCTCTTTCCCACGGGGGCGATGTGCTAGGTGTACGGACTCTAGATCCCCTCCTCTCCACGAGCACTCACTACCCCGCCTATAAATCAATCACCTCACTTCCCATTTCCTTAACTGAAGACCTGGAATGAGGAGCAGTGTTCACTCCAAAGGGGTTTTTTGGAAAGATTAAATAAGGCGACACAATCAAGTTCTTAAGAGAGTACCTGGCACACACCAGCTAAAAAGTTAGCTACATGACGGTCAGTGGAGGTTCTGGTACCTGCCCCACTGCTCTGGCCTCCCAGAGCCTCCCTCGCCCGGTCACCACTTGGGCTTGCTCCTGCCCAAGCCACATGCCATGCTGCAACTCTTCCCACAGGGTCTGCTCCACCAGAACACCTCCATTACTCAGACCAGTGCTCTCTGTCAAGGCCATCCATGACAGCAGGCAGAAGGGATGCTGATACCTTGGGGCAGCACTCTTCGTCTGCGCAACGTGCCAGTGAGGGTCTTCGGATGACCTACAGTGGTAACAGGATGACGATGCAAGAGTTGGGGCGGGCACTTTAGGCTCACAGCACCAGGCATCCTCCTGCCCTTGTGCCCGGTCTAACGTGCTGAACACTTCAACGCTAGTCCTTTTCTCGTGGAGATTTTCCAAACCACTCAAAGTTTTCCATTTTTCCCTATAACAAAGCTTGACTGTTGGTGAACAATTTAGCTTCCGTAAACAGTTCAACTGAACCAAGGCTTAGCTCCTACTGTCTGCCATCTTTAAAAGAAAACAAAGCGCGACTACTCTGTTAGACCATGTCATGTCCCAGTGTCTGCCAACTTTCATCTGGCCTTAGTAACAAGCCCTCCCACCACATGTTCCAAAATGCTTCTAGAGATAAATGGCACTATTAGCATTAAAGCTATAGCCCATGAAAATAAATTTGGGGGGGGGGAGGGTCATAAGAATTTTATCACCTATCCAGAGATGTTACTTGTCACTCAACAGTGGGACAACTTAAGAATATAATGTGAGAACAGAATTTCTAAAATAAATAAATAAACAAAACTCTGTTGGCTGTGTACTCAGTGGCCAACACCCTACAGGAAACAGTCCCCTGCCACAGCCCTGGCCTGCGACTATCGATGCACCACTGACTGGACCGGCTCATGGGACATGACCCCTGGTACCCATGCCCTCTTCTTGGTGGGCTCTTGACACACTGAAGGAGTGGACGGTGTCATCACCCCCTAATTGCCCTTTCAGGTGTGAGAATTTAATTGCAGCACCTGGGGCTTGGTTCCCACTCACTTGGCTTAGTCAAACAGATCAGAAAGGAAATGCAAAGCATTTTTTTTTTCTCACCTATCCAGAACGAGGTCTGGAGCAAAGATGAGCTTCCCTGGGTGGTCGATAGAGCGCCACATCAGCCCCACCATTAACACCTCCATCCAGCAGCTTTCCAAGAGCCGGACTTGGTCCAGCAGGCTGAGCTCCACAAAGCCTAGGGAAACAAGAGTCCGTGAAACACACCTCACCCTCAGCAACCCGTTTCTGTACAGACAGAACGGCAAGCCATTAAACGCCAAGGAAACCCAGACAACAAAGGGAAGTAATCAATCAGTGTTTCAAAGAGGTGATTCAAAGTGTTGTTGGTGGAAGGAGCCTCAGCTGTAAAACTTGCAGTTTCCAGCCTCCGACCCCTCCAGAAAATAAGCAAACTCTGTTTAATATTTCTAAAGAATCACTGGTTCCCCCAGACAGATGCCAGAAAGGGCCCAAAAGGCAGAGTTAGGCTTGTTAGCTATGGCTATACTGTCCAAATAATTCCTGAGCCCTGCTGAGGAAACCAAAGCTCAGCTGCCATCCAGAGGGGCTGTCTGTCTGTCTGTCCCAATACATGGTTTGGAGGGTGGATGGATGGGGTAGGTGGAGTCTAGATGACCAGGGGTGGAAGGTCAAGCAGAGAGTGTCGCCAGCCCCTGCAGAAAGCCAAAATAGGTTTTCCGAACATTGAACACTTCCCATGCAGAATTAGGACTATTCTGGGTGGGGGAGCTGTCTCCAGGTGATCCTGTTCTAAAGAGCAAATATAACAACCAAAGGCTTGAATTAGTCACAGCACTGGAAGGAAACACAGAATCTCTGGGGAGCAAATGCCTTTAGCACAAGGCAGAAGACATAGGAACTTCTTCCGTAACACACGCACTGTGCGAACACAGCAGACAAAGGCACAGCCTTGGAGTGAAATAGATTCTGGTTTTAATTATCAGCTTAGCCCCTCCCAAACGTGTGTGCGTGTGTGTGTGTGCGCGCGCACACACACACACACATGGTCACATGCTAGACAAGTGTTCTACCACTAAACTACATCCCTATCCCCTTCCCCCAGATGAGTTCATCTCTTGTCAAATCTGTTTTTCCTGTAGGTAAAATGGAAGTGACCTTGCCTCCCCCTGAGAATTTCCTATAAGTGAGATGGCGTATACATATTTTACCAGTGTTCCTACAATACAAAGCCGCACACGCTCAAGTCTTCGGATAATGGTTCTGTAAATGTGCACAACGGAGAAGTGAATGGAGCATGAATGTAAAGATGGAGAACTCCGAAGCTGGGGAGACGGCTCAGTCAGTAAAGGGCTTGCTAGGAAATTATAAGGACCTGCGTCTGATCCTCAGTAACTATGTGTTATGCACTTACAATCTCAACACTAAAGAGAAAGAAACAGAAAGATCTCTGGGGTTCACTGGGCAGCCATTCTAGCCAATCAGTGAACTCCAAGTTCAGTGAGGGAGCCTGTACCAAAATCTAAGGAGGCAAGCAATCGAGGCAGACGCCAGTGTCAACCCCTGGCCTCATGTGCAGCATGCATGAACACACTCATACACATGTATGCACCACACACATTTGGACTAATCCTTTCAGAGCCACATGGTTATGCTCAGTTCAGGTCCTGATACATGGACACCCTCCAGTGTCACTCACAGTCATATGTAAGACACCTACAAAATCTTTCAAAATGCTGCGCTTGAAGAAAGAATAATTGGGTGGGGGGAGAGCCAAACGGCTTCCCCTAGTCAGGAATCTCTCATCTCCATTTTTCCTGTGAGATCCTGCAAATGGTGTTTGGAAAACACGTGAAATAAAAACTAGAGGAAAGAGCATTGGTGTTTTTTTCCTCTGGCAAACAGCAGACAAAATGAAATAACTCTGGCAAAGGTGGAGACACTAGACAAAACAAAGCCGGAAAGGAGATCTCCAGAAAGCTCAGAAGGCGTGGGGCCCAGCCAGCAATGGCCACCAGAGACCCGTGCACCTGGAGATGTGGCTTCCAAAACTCTTCCTCCATCTACTCAGACAAAGCTTTACAATTTGCCTAAAACAGTTACTGCCCCCGCTGCCCTATGGCCATGGGAGCCTTGGCCTGGCTTAGAATTCAGAAAGTGTGTGTGTGTGTGTGTGTGTGTGTGTGTGTGTGTGTGTGTGGAGAGAGAGAGAGAGAGAGAGAGAGAGAGAGAGAGAGAGAGGTCTATTTATTTCTTATATGGTTGTAGAAGAAGTAGACGGCCCACGCTGTGAGACCCTCATCTCAAACCAGAACAAAATGTAGGGCCGTGCCCTGTCTCAGCCAGTAAAACTGCCTTTCATGCAAGCCTAATGTTGAGTTGGATCCCTGGGACAAAGGTTGAAGGAAAGATCTGACCCCTGAGAGTTGTCCTCTAACTCTGCACAGGTGCCACAGTGCACAGACGCTCACACACACACCACAGACACATGCACATGCACACCAGTGACAATAGCAATGGTAGTAATAAACATATGCTTATAATAATATTTTTAAAAATGGGTGCATTTAATAAACCTCACCTATTCAGCATCCTAGCTCAGTCTATCCTACCTTACACGTGCTTAGAATAGAATACGGTTGGTCAGCTTACAGATTGGTAAAAGCATATGATACAAGGCCTGTGTTCTGATAAAGCATAGAATAGCTCAAGTGATCTCTTGACTCTTATACTGAAGAAGGAAACCGGAGAGAGTAAAAGTGCCTATTTCTAACCGTCACACCCACAGTGAAGGACTGAGAGCTAAGCCATCGTAAGCTGGGGACTGGGGACAAATGGGCCTGGGGACATAATGACTTTCTAGGAGGAAAAGGTGCATATTCTGCATGGCCGCATTTTAATAGCAGGAAGATTTACTGGCCCGTTAGTTCACAATACTTCAACTGCTGATTTACTCTATATAATACCGATTCTTTCTCTACTGGGGTGATGTTTTATAAGTCCCTGTTTAGCATCTGATAAGCCTTATACTTCTACGTGAAACTGACTCTATGCTGTCCTGAGCTGCCATGCCCTTCTCACCAGCTGAGACATCAATAGCCAGAGACTGGTCAACATGGAATCCGCATTTCTACCTTTCAACCAGGCCCTAAGACTCTAGACTTGCCCAAGTGACCCTGAGTCCCTTCTCAGACCACACCTGGGCACAAGACGTAAGCAACAGGCATTGTCTGCTGGAGATGTGAACATTATCAGTGTTACAGTGTGTGCAGGATGAGTCTGCGAGACAACAAAGAGAGTCAGGTAGAGAAAGAGGCTCTATACACCACTTCCTGACCTACTCTATCTGATAAAACTTGAGAGTCTGGGAATTCTAAACAGAATCTAAAATCCAGGACATATTAAGGTTATATATGCCAATATATAGGACAAAGAGAACACCATTGTTATGTTACAAATTTTGCTGAGCAGTTAAGAGCAAGTACTGCTCTTGCTGAAGACCTAAGTTCAATTCCCAGCACCTAGGCTGAGCTCAGTTCCTAGCAACTACATTGAACATCATTACCTGTAACTCCAATTTCAAGGGCTCTGACATCTCTGGCTTCCTTGGGCACCTGCAGTTATGTTCATATATCTCCACACAGGTGTGCACATAATATATATATATATATATATATATGTGTGTGTGTGTGTGTGTGTGTGTGTGTATGTATAATCAAAATTGAATTTAAAAATCTGATCTATAAAAGGTTACAAAACAAAATGTCAAACAAACTATTCTATATCCAGATGAAGTTCACTGTCCCCAAAATATGAGAAGCAGGCCTTGTCACAAATAAACAGAACGAAGTCAAGAGGCAGAGACCTACCAGGGATTTTCTTGGCCCAGCCAATCATGTGCACCAGTTCCTTGTCGGCCAGCTTAGTGAGGGACATCATCATGGAGGCCTCGGTGAAGGGCATGCTGGGGCGGCTCACTAGCACATTGGGCGGCTCTGCCTCCAGGAGTGTGAGCACCAGCTGCTCTGGGCTCAGGGTGCTCAGCAGTAGCTCCTTCACCCGGGGCACATGGCCACTGTTCCTCTTGGCTTTGCCCAGGCAGTGCACCTGCTCACCGGAACTTCTCTGTCTTCGTACTATTCGGTAGCCACACCTTTCTCTCCTGGACCCTAAAGAGGAGAGCAGATGACAAGTCCAGTGGTTTCTCCACCCAGATTCCAGCTCACCGAATAACCAGTCTAAAAGTGATGAGGGCCTGAGGGTGTAGGTGAGTAGGTTAAGTGCTCGCATGCACAAGGCCGTGAGTTCGACTCCCAGGCCCAGCACTGTAAGAAGCAGCTATGTTGACAGCAGTGTTGATACCACTGATTTCATTCCATTTTTATATTTTGGAGTCTGTAGGTCACGGACAAAGATAACGACTGTCTGGATGTATTAGCAACATAACGTGTTTGGGAACGTCTGCTCCGTTTCAAGGTTATCACTGGCTACCGAATCTGTTTCTCTTCTAAAGTGCACTGATAGATCCCAGGTTCAAAGATATGAAGTTAGGAATTTTTCTCAAGTAGAGAAAATAATGAAAAGTCAAGACTTTAACATTGCTATTTCCAGATAGCAAATAACACACGCTAACAATGTTTTTTAAAAAGTTTATATACATGTACGTACTTATCTTTTTATATACTTACACAAACAAATATATTTCAAATAAATTAACTGAAAAATCCTGAAAAATACAAAAGAAAATTAATTTCTGTATAAATTCGGTATTTTTTCTTTAATGCTTTTTATATTTTATAAACAAAATTAGAATCATAGTTTCTACACTATTTCATAAGCTGCTCTTAATCTTATTGAAATTAAGGCTGGAGAGCTAGCTCAGTGAGTAACAGCACCAATCACACAGCTTCAAGACCTGAATTCAACACTCAGAATTCAAGTAAACAAAGCCTTACATGTCAGGGGTAGTGGTGCATGCCTTTGATCCCAGTACTCAGGAGGCAGAAGCATATGGATCTCTTTGAGTTCGAGGCCAATCTGATCTACATAGTGAGTTCCAGGACAGCCATGGCTAGATAATGAGAACTTGTCTCAGGACAACAAAAAGGTGTATATATAATTACATTCGTTATCCCAGCACCCCTACAGAAGACAGACACAAAAGAACTGCCCAGAAGCCCACAGTCCAGCTAGTCTAGAGAATGTAGTGCCAAAAAAGGACAAGAAAGACATCGCCTCAACAAGATGGAAAGAGAACACTGACTTCCAAAAGTTGTCTGAGCTCCATCGATGTGATGTAACCCATATGCAACCTACACAGGCATAAACACACAACAATAAACCAAGTTCAGAATCTGAAAAGCCCTCCAGTCTATTACTATATATTAACATTTACTTTTAAAAGCCAGTGTTGTTCTGGGCATAGCTGGAACCCAGGCAGAGCCTAGAGGGTTATGACAAATGCCAGGCCAACTTGAGATACATCGTAAATTCCAGACCAGACCTTTACTCCTATAGGGTAAAGGAGACTGTACCTCAAAGAACAAAAGCTAAAATGCCCCATGCTGATGTAAGTCTATGTTACGATAGTTTCTTCTTTAATTATTGCAGTGAAAATGAGACTTGTGGGTGTGCTCAATTACTACTTTATAATAAATTCAAAGTTAACTTGTTCAAACAAGCCATACAGACATTAAAAATTTTATAGCTACTACTTTCCAAAATATTTAAGAATTCATAATCTAACAATAATTTAAGGACCTCCTCTTTTCTCATAATATTATTGGGCATTAGTGTTACTTTTAATCTTTGTTGGTCTTAGGAGTGTGTAAACAGTCTTTTCTTATTCTGCAATTTTTAAATATTTAGCAATGTTCACAATGTTTGCCCTTTGTATTTCTCTACTTGTACGTTGCCTATTTTTTTAGGCGTGTGTGTACAAGACAGAGTTTCTCTGTGCAGTCCTGGCTGTCCTGGAACTCATTCTGTAGACCAGGCTGGCCTCGAACTCATAGAGATCCACCTGCCACTACCTCTCTAGTACTAAGATTAAAGGCGTGTGCCACCACTGCCCAGTTTGCCTATTTATTTTTTATCCCTTGCTTTTCTTAAATTTATAAAGGCCCTTTGTATAACTTTGCACCATGCAGCCTCTGGTTTGCTTTGTGTGTTTAAGCTTTGTTCATGGTGTCTTCTGCCATAAAAAGCTCTATTTAGAGGCTGGAGATACGGCTCAGAGGTTAAGAACACTGGCTGCTCTTCCAGAAGACCCAGGTTCAAATCCCAGCACCAACATGGTAGCTTGCAACTGTAAACTGTAACTCCAGGGGATCTGACATTCTCACACAGATATACATGCAGACAAAATTCCAATGCACATAAAATAAAAGTAAATAAATCATTAAAGAGAAAAAAGCTTTTAATAAATGGTCAATTTGCTTTGCATCAAGATCATAAAAGTATTCTCCTTTATCTGCATAAATACTCGTGTGGTTAAAATCTATCTGGAATTTTATACATGTTTGTATTATGTGAAGTTGATATTTCATGTCACAGTCCCCAAATAGATAAACAGTGTTCCCTGTACTTGTTGTATCACAAGCTTTTTCCTGCCAACTTTGAGTGCCTGTCAATAATATTAATTTATATAGGTGATTTATTCTCAATTCTCTACTCAGTTTCACTGATTTGTATTTCTATGTCTGTGCTAGTACCCAAATATTCTTGTTATTGTAGGCCTATGGATCAGAACATAATGAAATTATGTTTTTAAAATGATGACGGGGCCCCAGCATTTGGGAGGCAGAGGCAGGCGGATCTCTGTGAGTTCGAGGCCAGCCTGGTGTCTACAAGAGCTAGTTCCAGGACAGGAACCAAAAGCTACAGAGAAACCCTGTCTCAAAAATCAAAAAAAAAAATGATGATGGGGAAAGCCAGGAGTAGTAGCGCAATCCTATAATTCCAGCATGCAGGAGGTAGGGGCAGAAAGACCAGGAGTTCAAGGGCAGTTTTGGCTACCTAGTGAATTCAAGGCCAGCCTGGATGTACTGAATGAGACTGTAAAAAAAAAAATGTAGAGAAAAATGTATTTTTTGTTTGAGTCAGGGTCTCATTCTGTAGCCCAAACTGGGCTCAAACTCCTGGAAATATACCTTCCTCAGCCTCCTGAGAATCGGAATTGTTGGGATTAGCCAGAATCCCTGGAAAAGATATTCTGATCGTTTTCATTATTTGAGTACATAAGCCATATTTATTCATTTAATATGTGCACATACACACACATATATATACATATATATATATATATGCCTTTTTGTTAATATTCAGTACCTCCTGGTTTTTTCCTTTATTTACTCCTTGAGAGTTTCAAACATACATATAAAATGTTTTAATCAAATCTATTCCTCATTCCACCCCTTTGAGTTTTAAAATAGGGTCTTGAAATGTAGCTCAGGCTAACCTTGAACTTTGTAGTCCAGGCTGGCCTTGAACTTATTACAACAGTCTTCCTGCTTCCACCAACCAAATGCTGAGGATACATGTGTGCCAGCACATCTAGTTCTCCTTGAATTTTGAGTCATCTTCCCAGCTGATTGACGGGAACACGACCCATCGTAAACTGAGGACACTAGGGACTGGAGAGATGGCTCAGCTATTAAGAACACTTACTGCTTTTACAGAGGAACCAGGTTCAATTCTAAGCATCCACTTGTTGGCTCACAACCATCTGTAACTATAGTTCCGGGGGACCCAATGACCTCTTCTGGCCTCTAGGAGCACAAGGCACACACATGACACACATACATACAGGCAAATACCCATACACATGAAACCAATCTAAAACCAGCTCGGGACATTTTCCACTGAATGACAACTGAGAAGCCACACCGCTCACGTGTTTTTAGAAAGGAGGAAAAATAACAGTGGAAATTTTGACATTTAAGTAATTGTGTAGCTGGGTGGTGGCACATGCCTTTAATCCCAGCACTAAGGAAGCAAAGGCAGGCGGATCTCTGTGAGTTCAAGGCCAGCCTGGTCTACTAAGAGCTAGTTCCAGGACAGGCTCCAAAGCTACAGAGAAACCCTGTCTCAAAAAAACAAAAAAAAAAAAAGAAAGAAAGAAAGAGAATAAAGAAAAGAAGTATTTGTGAGAAAGCAGAAAATATGAACCTTTAAAAAAAAAAATCACTATATGAGGCTGGGGTGTAGATGGGTGGTAGAGTGCTTGCCCAGAATGCCCAAGGCCCTGGGTTCAATCCTTAACATGCAGACCCCCCAAAAGCACTGATCAAACAAAATAATAGTCATAGTAATAATAATAATAGTTTCTGGGAATGAATGATAATAATATAGCTTCTAGGGATGAACAAAGAAGGTAAGCCAATAGCATCATGGAAAATCAAAAGGTGATTCAGGTTAGAACTCCAAAAGAAATTCTTTTACTTAGGAAGAAGCTGAAATTCTCAAATCATCAAAAATGCACGTAAATAGAAATGTCACTAAAGGAACTGAGAGAGCAGCTGTGCAACCCCCAGACTAGTAGAAACAAAGAAAAACATAAAATGTGATCAACCAACAGGGATAAAAAATGCTAAATTCAAGATGAACTATGGGATGTTGGACTCTGTTTGCTTTTCTTTGTTTGACCTTGTTTCTTTGACACAGAAAAAGTGCCTTGCTGTGATGGTGGCGCACGCCTTTAATCCCAGCACTTGGGAGGCAGAGGCAGGTGGATCTCTGTGAGTTCACATCTGTGAGACCAGCCTGGTCTACTACAAGAGCTAGTTCCAGGACAGGCTCCAAAACCACGGAGAAACTCTGTCTCGAAAAAACCAAAAAAAAAAAAAAAAAAGAAAAAGTGCCTTGACTTGGGGACATTTGAACCTAATTTATAACCAAAAGAGTTAAAAGGTTAACATGTATTTCATTTTTTTAATTTATTACATTTTTATTTATTTTTATTTGTCTGTGTGTGTGCGCGCGCGTGTGTGTACACACGCACATGTCTATGTGAAAGGAGAAGAAATAGCTGACACTTTCTCACACTTTGGATACGAGGTGTCCCCAGAAGGCTCATGTTGGACGGCTTGGCTACCGTGGATGGCACTGTTGAGAGGTAACTGGGCTGCCAAAATCTCTGGCAGCTTCGGTGGACGAATCTCTTGATGGATTCATAATATGATGGCATTACAGGGAGGCGGGAGAGTGAGATCTGATCCAAGGAGTTGTTTGTGTTTATCCGCAATGATTAGCTTGTCCCCAACCCCCTGCACCCTCCCTTGCTTTCTGGTCACCATGAAGCAAACAGCTTCCTTCCCCACAAGCCTCCGCATGAGGCTTCTGGCTTCCCCAACAAGCCAGGTGATCATGAACAAAACTTCTAAGATCATCAGCCAAAATGAAGTGTCTTTTCTCCCTTCAAGTATTTCCTTCAAGGCATTTGTCATGGCTATGAGAAGTACGTCTTTCTGTTACGTGGGAGGCAGAATACCCTCTCAGCTCATCTGCTGAAATTCCCAAAGAGATTAGGAAGCCTCCACCGGTTGTTTGTTGTTTTGTTTCAGGGTCTCACTCTATCTTCCGGGCTGGACTCAGACCCTCAGTAATCCCTCGGCCTTAGCCTCCCAGGGGCTGAGATTATAGGTGTGAGCTACCACGCCGGCCTATGTGATCCATTCCTTACCTTCCCTGTACTGAGCCTGAGAAAAATCACACTGTTCTAGAGCCGTACTTCATAAATATCAGCCCACGAGGAGAGCTAAGGGAAGCTGAGACGGAGCGCCAGACACCACACTGGGGTTCCCATTTATCTACTTTCTGCTCCTCTCAAAACCCAAACAAGCAGATATCGCCGTTTCAGAGATAAACCCAAGGGCTAGAGAGCTAAAGCTAAATGAGCAGTCAGCAAAAAGCAAAGAAGCAAAGATGAGACAGTGTCCACAGACTCCAGCTCCTCCTATGGGAGTGCTCCTTGAGACAGTGTCTGCAGATTCCAGCTCTTCCTAAAGGAGTATATCCTTCAGACACTGTCTATGGGCTGCAGTTCTTCCTTGAAGTGTATATTCCCCTCCTTCTAGAAAGCAAGTGGAGAAATGGGATCACATCTTCCCCATAGTCACCTGAGAAATCCACAAGACTTTTCCTGTTACAAGCTCTAACTGTGGGCATTCATGCCAGGAAGTCCCCAGCTGCTGGCAAGCTCCAGCCCATTTGAACGGTTCAGTAGCTAGAAAGTCCCCCACCTACACAGAGGCCTCTTCTTCGCTCCACCCCCGAGCCGGGTCAGACTCTGGCCTCTAATGCTCTGAAATCTTTGCTCACACCCAACCAACCCTGCCTGCAGCTGCGAGGAAAAACCAGCGCACTTGGATGGACAGGAATACTTAAAGATAATTCCCATGGCCACGAGTCTCCAGTTCCTCGGCTCTCGCAGGCACCCACCACAATAAAAAGAAATGAGCACTCACCACACTTGACCATTCCTACTTCGTAGCACTTGCGAAGGCGGCAGGCCTGGCAGCTTTTGCGCCGGTTCTTGTCTATGGTGCACTGATTGGTGGCTGGGCAGATGTAATCATTGTGTCCTACAGCAAGAAGACGGAAAATGAGTGCAACAGTTGACAACACTGATGACATCATGTAGCGGGAAGATGGGGAAGACCTACACGTTAAAGCATCCAAATCAGCCACGGTGAAGAAGATATTTGGGTACCTTCGGGTATGAAGGCTCAAACCCAGGGTCTCATGCATGCGAGGCAAGTACTCTATCACTGAGCTATATGCTCAGCCGTGGTGTTTTCATTCTTTCTAAATGTTTACATTGTTGAGGGGAGGAGGACTCAAGACAGGGTTTCTCTGTGAAGCCTTGGCTGTCCTAGAACTAGCTCTACAGACCAGACTGACCTTCAATTCACAGAGATCCGCCTGCCTCTGCCTCCCACGTGCTGGGATTAAAGGTGTGTGCCACCACCGTCCGGCTTTATTTTTTTATTTAATTATTTTATTTTTATGCTTATTTATTTAGAAAGAGATGATGTAGGTCAAAGGTCTTACAAGAGTTGGTTCTCCTTCCATTACGTGGGGCCTGGGCATCTAACTCAGGTCATCAGACTTGGCAGTAAGTGTCGTTATGGACCCTGCCATGTCACTAGCCCCTAAAGGTTTACTTTTACTGGATTGTGTGTGTGTGTGTGTGTGTGTGTGTGTGTGTGTGTGTGTTATGTACATGCAGGGGTCCATGGAGGCCAGAGAATAACTGGATCCCCTGGAACTAGCGTTACAGGTGGTTGTGAGCTGCCTGACATGGGTCTGGGAAACGAACTTGAACCCTGGAAAAGCAGCTTGCATTAACCAGAGCCGTCACTCCAGGCCCTTATGTCTTAACTGCATTAAACCAATAAACAAAGTAGCCTGCACTTCTCATGTGATGTCCGTGATGGCCAGACTTGCAGTATCCGTGAGTAAGACTCCTAAGTGAGCAAACCATTAAAAAAAAAAATTTTTTTTTTAAAAATTAAGTTGCCAAAGGACACTTAAGGAGAGGTCATTTACAGACAAATAGGATTCTAAAGCTGAGGTCACAATTCAGCAGGAAGAGCACCTGACTGGCATACATGAAGCCTTGGGCTCAACCCCCAGTATGGTATATAGCTGGGCATGGCGGCACGTGCCTTTATCAGTACATCAGAGATAAAGACAGGAAAATCAATTTAAGGTCACCCTCGGCTACATACCAAGTTAGTGGCCAGCCTGGGCTAAGTGAGACTGTCCCAGAAAGAAAAGAGAGAGAGAGAAAGAAATGTAATTCCATCAATAGGAAAAGCTCAAAGACAGCATGGAGACAAGCATGCATTTGTGGTCAAGGAAGGTAAAAGCTACGTGCATCTTGGCTCTGGAGAGGGCCAAGGAGTTAAGACTGCAGGGCCCACTAAGAGGGGCCAGGAGGCTGGGGCATTGCTGCCTGAACTCCGGCTATGCAAGGGTTTCCTTTCCCATTCTTGAACCATTCACAGACTTCTACATAATGCTAGCACGCGGCGAGAGGATGATTTAAAAACTAACTCCAAATGTGTAATGTCCATATATAATTTAGCTAAATAAATATGTGAAATACAATGTTTTATTTTTCTTAGGCTGTTTTTTCTTATATTACACTCAAACTATAGTTAATTTTTTTTATTACAAACGATAACTTTCTCTCAGCTGAAGCTGAGTTAAGAGCACTGACTGCGCTTCCCGGGTTCAATTCCCAGCACTTACACGGAGGCCCATACCTTCTGCAATTCTAGTTCCAGGGAATCCAATGCCCTCTTCTAGTCTCCAAGGGGATTAGGTACAGTCATACATGCAGGCAAAACACTCATGGACATACCAGAAAATACTTTAAAAAAAACAAAACAAACAAGTCCTTAAAAAAAAAAAAAGATAGCTTCTGAGGCCCTGGGGATGGATCAGTGAGTCAAATATTTTCTGCATAAACATGAGGACCTAAAATGTGATTCCCAAGTAGAAGCCAACAGTGGGAGCACCATGTACCCATAACCCCATGTAGGGGAGGCAGGGCTGAGAGAGGGAGATGCCTGAACAACAGCTGGCCAGGCTCATCAGTGAGCCCCAGTTCACTGAAGAAACTGTCTCAAAAATGAAGGTGGACAGCCAAAGAAGACACACCCAGTGTTGACCTCTGGCTTCCACACATGTGCACATGCATCCCTCACAAACACACGTACACACACACATACACCCATATAGCATCTCTAATATGGCCCCATGTATACATATATACAGAGAGAAAGAAATGGGAACATAGATGAATGCATGTCTGTGCATACATATATACGGATATATCCATAAATCGATTCTCTAACTCCATCCCGAGAGGACCTGGTGCAGGGATCTTCCAAGAGCAGTGAGACAGGAGCAGTTTTACCACTCCCATTTTCCAGTAAGGGGAATCAGGGTTCCATGAAACAACAGCGTATTTCAGAACTAGGGCAGGTTACATGTACAACGAGCCTGAAACATTGTGTGCTAGGAAAGAAAGCCATGCCCAAAGAATTACAGGAACACGTTGAAAAGACGGGAATCAGCTTAAGGACTCCTACTGGCCAGTCTGAGATAATGTGAGCCTCAAAAAACTAATGATAGCAACCCAATGCAGAAAAGAAGAAGCCGTAAGTCATAATGATACAGATTAATTCATTGGCTTAATGAAGAATGCCATTATTTACTTAGGCTCAAAAGGTTTCCCAACAAAAACATTCATTACAAAGGGGAAAAAGGAGTAATTTTACAGAATGGATGTCTAGCTGCCAGTACCTTAATCAAATAGTCACTAGTAACAGGACAAATTGAAATCACACACCACTTGAGAGGCGCTGTGAGCACAGCAGCGTCTCTGGCTATCCCTGCAAGCAGGGTCTAGGATGAAAGAACAGACGAAGCCAGAACGAGGGACATTATGCAAGACGGCAGTTTTGGTCTTCCAAAGTTTCATGATAATGGAAGCAATGCAAGCTCTGAAGGACAGAGACCAGAGACATGACACCTAAACACACAGTCAATTCCTGATCTTGAGCCTTGTGCTAGGGAGGGCAGTAGAACAACTCCAAGTCTGAGCGTTAGGTGGCGGTAGTGTGTGTGTGTGTGTGTGTGTGTGTGTGTGTGTGTGTGTTAGCTGCCCAGCGGACACCCATTTGACAGAAGTACGGCAGTGGCTACATGTTAAAGGATTCTGAGTGATGAAGCATGTTGACAACATTGCCCTACACAGTTCTGGGTGAATGTTTTTTATATCTTATATACATATTTTAAGTATGAGATTCATTAAAAACAAAGACAGATGGTAGCGCCCATCTGCAATCGCAGTGCTTGGGAGTGGAAGGACTTCACGGCTAGCCTGGACTACAGGGCAGTAAGACTTTCTCTAAAAATATAAATAGCTAAAAGTTTCCATTGGCTTTCTTGAAAAATGTAGCTTACTGTTCACTCAACTGCTGTAGCTCAAGGTCTTCCTTACTCACTTGAGTTGCTGATAGAATCGGTCCCTTGTTGCAGGACTCGGTCTCATTCCTTGCTGGCTGTTGACTGCACGCTGTCCTCTGTTCCTGCCCGCAAGTGCACTTCACTGCCCAGGACACAGAGTAGGGTCTGCTTTCTTCCATGTCAAGAAGAATGCATTTCAAACTTCTCTCTAATCTATGTGATGGAGTCTTATTAAAAACTCTATTTATAAGCCAGGCATGGTGCTGCACACTTTGAATCCCAGCACTCCAGAGGAAGTGGATCTTTGTGAGTTCGAAGCCACAAAGCCAATTTCATGGTCTAAAAAGTGAATTCCAAGGGGCTGGAGAGGTGGCTCAGTGGTTAAGAGCACTGCTTGCTCTTCCAAAGGTCCTGAGTTCAATTCCCAGCAACCACATGGTGGCTCACAACCATCTGTAATAAGATCTGGTGCCCTCTTCTGGCTTGCAGACATACATGCAGACAGAATACTGAGAATACTGTATACATAATTAATAAATAAATCTTTAAAAAAAAAGAGTGAATTCCAGGCCAAGCAAGACTGTATAGTGAGATCTGTATCAAAAAATATATAAAATAAAGATGCAGATAGATATAAGGTTTTATATGTTTGTATGAATACCTACATGTGTATATGTGCATAACATGTGTGCTGGTACCCATAGAGGCCAGAAGAGGGTATCAGACATCCTGGGAATAGATTTACAAATAGTTGTGAGCTGCCAGGTGGTTGCTAGGAATCGAATCCCTGTCCTCTAGAAGAGCAGCCAGTGCTCTTATACATGAATTTGAAGGAGAACAAGGAGGCACATGGGAGGGATTGGAGTAAAGGGAAGGTGGAAAAATGATGCAACAATAATCTCAAAAAATTACATATATATATATATATACACATATATACATATATGAAGATATTTTTGTCTTAAAAATGGATCCAAAGGTTTAATAATATGAACACACTTAGTGAAAACAGCCTAGAAAAGGTAATACAAGAAAAAAGAACCCTCTTCAAATTAACAACTATCAATGTGTTAAAAAATGGTGTCCAAGGGTAAATCTGGTTGGTTGAGTTGGTTTTGGGTCCTATGCAATTACCAGAGCTGGGCAAGATGGCACATGCCTGTAAAAGGATCCTAAATTATGTGTTTTATTGTTTCTTCAAGACAGGGTTTCTCTGTGTAGCCTTGGCTGTCCTGGAACTCACTCTGTAGACCAGGCTGGCCTCGAACTCAGAGATCCACCTGCCTCTGCCTCCTGAGTGCTGGGATTAAAGGCGTGCCCCACCACTGACTGCGAGTTTCGAGCCAGCCCACACTACACAGTAAGTTTCAGGAGAGCTTGGGTTATCATAGCAAGAGTCAAAAGAAAACAATTTTTTTTAAAAAGCCATAAATAAGATGCTTCCTGATATGAAAACAATGACAAAGATTCCCCTGGGTCTGCAGGATTGCTGTGGGTTAAAGACCTTGATGTATAAGCCTCGCAAGCTACATCAATGCCTGGAGCTGGCTGCTAAGCTCCATAGCATGCTGTGGTATGCAAGTACCTGAACACAGACACA